AATCGGATTTCCCATTATTCAGATAGTACTAAATTACTCTTTTTGCAAATCATTCTCGTTCGGTTCGCTTCATGTTAGAAAAATATTGATAGTATTTGCAAAACCACGCGAGTTTGACAGATTTGTTACCGGTGGTTACCATGGCAACAATTATTTTCTTTTTTGAAAACCTTTTTCTTGGCCGATATGAACACTCAGTTTTGTCTCTTTACTTGTGTTGTACAATCTTTACTTAAGCGGTGATGAAAACGATAACACTTAAATTTAGGAATGGTGAAAACGGTCATAACTCCCTCATCTTCACTTCATTCCAAAGTAGGAAAGATCATGAATATCGTAGGAAGGTCCATGCTGTTAAACCAATATTCACAAAAGAATGGGAATCTAACTTTTACTACTAACTAAAACGCTTAGATTACTATGTAATTGACGTAAACTTATCGATTAACCAAAACATGGGAAAGTTTAGCATAATATTGGTCACACTTCGTTATTACTGAAAACTATGAACATCTATCGCTTTGTGACATTTACATACTATAACACACGTGTGAACACATTTAAAAATGAAAATAATACTTGCCGATAGTATAAAATATAGCCATCTAAAAATATTCAATATTAATATAATTATTTTTCTTCGTTCTTCTGTCAATCTGTCCCTCTAAACTCCTGTACATTTCTCTTCCTTCTTCAAGAACTCTTTTACAGTGACAGCTATGAGTTTGTGGAATTCTTTGCCCCTACATTCAATTACATTCGACAAGCCAAGTCTCTTCTTTCTTTTACAAGCCTAGTAAAAGCTCATTAATTGGAACTGTGAATTCATGCTTTCTTTATTCTTTTTTTCCCTGAATTTTTTGCCTATTTCATTGATTTATAAATGCTCTCGTCCTGTGTATATTAGTGATTCATGTACACCTCCTGCCTCGTTCTTTATGTATCGCAATGGTTGTCTGGAAAAAAAATCTGGTCCTTTTGCTTTTTATGCTTTTGGTGTACAATAAAGTATGAACAAATAAACAAATAACAAACCAAAATATTAAAATCGAATTGAATCGATGTAGGTAATGCACACAACAGTTACATATAACTATTGACAATATAACTGTATAATTTATTATTATTATAATCAAACTTAACAACTGTAGTTCCTTAATATTGATAGCAATATATGAAGCTGACCATGTGAATTCAGGTGCCAAATGAAACATAATGCCGTAGGCCTACCCACTAGATAGAGTGAAGACCTGTGCAAATTTGCGGGATGTCGATGGATGCAGGTGGTAAATGATTCATTTAGATGTGAAACTTATAAGACGCGCTTTGGGGGTATTACCAACTCGTATGCTGTGATGAAAAAGGTATGGCATAACATACGAGATTTAGGCCTTCATGAATCCTCCTCGTATCACAAAGTACTCCCCGTGCACTGAATTAATTTTTTAAATTGGTTTGATAAATATTTTGATGACTCTTTCTGATAATTTTTCCCATGTATATCTTTTAATAATAACGGTAATTCATCCAAATATTTGTCTTGTCGTAGACCCATTTTATTTCTTTAATAAGTTCTATCATTCCATTACTTTAAAAATATGATTCATCCGTACATTAATTAATCTATGTAAAGATTTTTCTAGATGCGCTTTTCCCATTGATCAAGTAATAAACCTCCGTAAAGTTAGAAAGATCAATATTGACGCGTTATACACTTGAAAGCGCTAGTATATAACAACATGATCTATTCTAGAAAAATGTTAATTTCTTTTGAACGACAAAACGAGTATCGTGTAATTAAGATAACCGACGTCCACGTATGCTCTAGTTTTACATTAGTAATAATAATACATTGACAGGAAACAATAATTGAATTTTCACATAATTTCTTAACACACAATCTGATAAATCTTCTTCATGTTATTCACTAGGCGTTTATGTGTCTAGCGGAGTTGTATCAGTAATTTGGGTTGTTGAGCGTGCTAAAGAATTAAACATAGATGCATACATACTATAAAAAAAAAACTATTCTATTAGTGGAAAATTCCGTTAGAGGAACCTCATTACGGTGGTAGATTTAAAAAACCGACCAAGTGCGAGCCGAACTCGCGCACGAAGGGTTCCGTACCATTTAATACCATCTATAAAAACGGAAAAAAATCATGTCTGTTATATGGGATCCCCGCTTAGATATTTTTATGCTGTTTTTTTTATTGTTTTGTTATTTACTTTGAAAATTTCGGATGAAATGTCTCACTATTACGGTTCATGAGATACACCCTGGTGACAGAAGAAACCCTAAGAATGACTATAGACAGATGACTTTTAACTGAGTCTATAAAACATACCTGGATTTCATGAGAAGATGAATTAAGTTCTCATCACGATATTAATAATGCCAGGATTACAAAATTCTACGATATTTTGCCTCGGTTCTTTGTTCTTCAACATTTTATCAACGATATATTACACAAAATAAGACACAGTAAAATCTATCTTATCGCCGATGACCTCAAACTACTAAAATTAATTACTAATAATACCTCTCATATAAGGTGCGTTCAAGATGTCATCTAAGGGCTAATTTCCTCTTATACAATGAATACATTAAGAAGAGTTCTGATATTGATATCCACTTCGATAGCATCGTTACTTTTATTGCAAAGGTTTAAAATATTGATATACCTTTATGTTATATGACCTTTCTCTTTTTTAACTTATATAATTTTTATACCTTTTTTCATTACAGTAGTGGGATAAAACGCATGATGTGGTTACTTATAAATGTGAGAACAGTTATCTATCGTATTATGTAATAAATAATTTGTATTTATCTTGTATCTCACGTTAGTAATCCAATTAATAAATATATAAATATGTATCTATATAAATATGTACCTATTTTCTGTCATTACATACTAGGTATATAATATTTCATTATTATTTCCTTATGGTGGTTCCTATAATTCGCATATAAAATATATTAAAATCGGGCGACACTACAAAAATTTCCTAATTACCACCAAGTATGCTCCGGGGACGACGCTAATTGTAAAAAAGAGCCTAAATTTATATATTATTTTAATAATTTTATAGACACCAAATATTGAAATGCGTTTTGCAAACTTTATATATATTTTAAGCATTGCCCCTGCACTTGCTATAATTATAGAGGCATACATATATTCAAAAATGTCTGAATTTTGAATAAGTTCAACGACCCAAGTCTGCCTGTAAAGACGTGTATTATTAGCAGCGCTCAGAGAGATGTTTCGTTTTTTTTTATTACCGTAGGTTAACGGTTTTTAAATGTTTTCTTTCTTAAGGTTCATGTACCTTTTATCATCCTATTGTTTCAGTGACACTTTTCCTCGGAAAAAGTATTAAGTTAAAAATATAAACATTTTGAAACATATTATAAAAATAATTTTGCATTAATACAACTCTTTGTTTTCAATTTTATAATGAGATTAGTTTAAAGTTATTCTAAGCAATTCGATTCAACTATATATTAATGTGTAAACCTATAATTTGTTTGATTGTGTTTTTAAGAAATCATAATTATAAGAAAAAAATTTTTTGTAGGTTTATTCAAACTATCTTAATATACCATCAATTAAAAAATCAAAATGAAATTACTATAAATTGTCAGATATCAAATCTGAAAACTAAATTCGTTACCGTAAATCCCGGTGATAGCGCGGCTGTAAAAAAAATGTGTGCGTGTACCAGCGTACACTCGTAAGAAGTGAAACTTTTTTATGACGTTATTTTTCAAAAAATAATTTACTATATGCAACTTTACAGAAATTGGTTAAATAAAGTTAAATTAGATAAAATTTAATAAAAGGCTTTTATTATCATAGACATAAATACAAATTCTACAATTATTTCATTTTAGCTTTGTATTATATTTAGTTTCTTATTTGTAATACATAGGTGGCGTTAGTAATAAATTAAAACACTATGGTTTGACCGTTGTAATTAGTATGAGGGTCCGCAAAAATTGTTGATTAAAAAACTTGCAACGTGAACCTTGTTTATTTCAATTAACCTCACGGACCTAAAATACAACCGCTTTGAATTTGTACATGGTCCTTCGTTGCCGAATAGTCAGGCAGTGAGTAGAAGGCAGACATTCGACTCGCGCGCGAGTGTTGTGAGTGAAGTTTTTGTGGAAAACCGAGCTTGCGGACGTTGGATCGACGTCGCAACCGCAAGTTCCAGGAGCCGATCGAGGCTTCGAAGAGCATCATCGGTCAGCTTCAGATTGTGTCTTCGGTGGAAGGCGCAGTCAGGTCACGGTGGGCGGTGCCTGCCTTTGGAGAAAAGGAAGTCTACACAGTGTCGTGCTCTGAAGTATTAGAGCTAGCACTGTCATTACTACAAATATTATTATTGAATTTCATTAATTGTAATAGAATTATTTACTATCATTGATGTCGTTATTACATATTGGGTTATTAATGGTTTATCGTAACTGAAATACGAAACATATTGTTTACATTTTAGAATTAGAATTAAAATAAACCCTTTGATTTTGCTGATCACTTTAATATATATATATATATATATATATATATATATATATATAGTTATGAACACACAAAGGAACTAACGCCATCTAGCGTCAACTATTAAAACCACTAAAGAATAAAGACGACATAAAACCCCCTATTCAACACTAGATGGCGTTAGAGGAACATTTTAAGATAAGAAAAAGATGGCGCGTAACGGAAAAATGTTACACTAAATTTTTTTCCAACCCCGATAAAGAAGTTTCACTTCAAAAATCAAACTTACCGCACCTCATGTGAGATTTATTAGTCTTGATAAATAATTTACACGAATAAAATAATGAAAAACATATTTAAAGGAAATGTATTTTCAGTTCACATTTAACATAAAGACTTGACTCCATTAAACCCGTCAAAGCCGTCTTAATGCTTCTCAAGTTAATAAAACAACATCATTACAATACCGGAAATCACTTAAAGACAATGGGATTGCAACAGAATTTCCAATTACACTGGTATTTCGCCAAGAAATGTCACCAATGATATTCGTTGTTGCAAAAATTGCGTGATTTTTAATATCAAGGCTGAGCGATACAAAAAAATGTTTTCAATTTCAGTTCAACAGTATAATTTAGATTGGAGGTGTAGTAAAGAATACGAAAAAAATTTGTATTTCTTTTAAAAAGGTGATTATCATTATCGACTAAATATTGTAGAACTGGAATAAATAAATAAAATAAAATTGATTGGCCCTCGATTTCTCTGGGATGCCATCATCAAATCCGGTTTCCTTATCATAGTACCACCAAATCGGTTCATAAACGACGAAGTTATCCACGAACACACATAAAAATATATATATACTATCGAATTGAGAAACCTCCTCCTCTTTTGAAGTCGGTTAAAAAAACCGCATCAAGATCCGTTGCGTAGTTTTAAAGATCTAAGCATATCTAGGGACAGACAGACAGCAGGAAGACTTTGTTTTATACTATGTAGTGATTTACTGTTGCCTTTATTCCTGATTATGTTGATTCTAATTTGCCGACAGGTCAATTCCAATTCCGGACAGCTTGGCGATGGACCCGCTGGCGCCCACAGCGCTTGCGGTCTCCTCCGATTTCATGGATCGTATCGGTAGTGGATTGACCTTACTAAGAGATCACGGAAAGAAAGTTCAAAAGGTAACAAATTAATTACGAAAACTTAAAATTTTTTCGACAATTATCCATTATATGTGACGTCGCAAGCAAACATCAAAAGCTTAATCGCCTAATCTCAATTAAATAATAGCTGAAAATCCTAAATAGCCCGACGGTCCGTTGGACTTAAATTTATTAATTACATTATTAGATATATCATATATTGAGATATCATTAGATTGATTATTGATATATCATTAAACTGACTTAATTTGTCTCAGAATCGAGAAGCTGCCCTCTAGTTTTTCTACAATTTGCATTCACTTTGTCTTATTTCGTTATTAAATTGACTGAAGTTGTTATATTTAATCCGTATTGTTCACTACACAGTACCTGTGGAAAAGCAGAAAATTTGATGTACTGAAGAAATCATGGAAATCACAAGTAAATATTGTACTTGTGGATGCCAAAGATTTGCCAGGGGATGACATCTTAACAAACACAAATGCTCTGTACTGCAAATTTAGGTAAAAAAAGCTAATTCATACTTTCCCTCATCGTATCCATACTATTTTTCTTTAAACAAATTTACGTCCTTTTCTCATTGAATTTTATGTCTTGTCATACGGAAAACATGTAGGTGAACTATTATTATACTATATACAATTTTTTAACATTCCACGTGCAAAATTTCTGCCCTATGGTAAAAATTAATTTTAATAAGGTACTAATTTCTTTATTTATAGCTTATAGCGAAGATCATGTATTTTTTGTAAATATTTAAATGTTCTCTTCTTATTTTAGGTTAGGTAATGAATCTTATAAGTCAAAGCAGGTATCAAGGTCGAAACCAATGTGGAGGGAAAGATTCAATCTGTATATGTATGAGGACAGCAATTTGGAAGTCAAAGTGTGGCATAAAGTGAAACAAAAGACATTCGTGGGCAGGTAATGCAAAACCATATAAAAACATGTTGCGTTTTTATTATAATTTTAAAAATCTGTAAATAATTAAGGTACCTTATTGGTTTTATCAAAATTTTATCTTGTTATGTAACTGTTAAGGTTCGTTAACTTAAACTTACATAAAAAAATGGTTATATCGGATTCAGCTAATAATCGAATTGGTCAATTCGTAAACTTCGTCTAATGAATATCAATGATTAACTCGCACGTAATTACTTAATAACTGTCCAATGATTTTTAACATTATAACTGCTTATTTAATTATTATAATTACAACTAGCCACATTATTTACAGTCTTTTCGTAATTTGTTCTTATTGGAATTGCTTTTATTTACGCAGTAGATAGTTTTCTTAAGATACCCTCACCGTGAAGACAGGGTTAAGGCGCTGTATGCTGTAAAAATAGGTTTTTCAAACATCTCTGTACAAAGTCTTTATATTTTATAGCAACAAAAATATATGTTAATCTTGATCTCTTCTAATCTCTCTCAGACTCATTATATTCAAAACATATTCTCGATATATTTTCTCGATAAAAAAAAATCATGAAATTACCTTTAAAAATGAAATTCAAATCCAAAAACAAATCTTAATGAAATTAATATCAGTGGTGTAGAATATTTTAATAACCAGGACTGTTTTCTTAATTTGTTGATTGAAGTAAGATGCCCACATGAACCGATTTATGAAATAAAAACAAAATAATAAATATACCTACAAATTAGAACTTAAAATTATATAAAAATACAACCCCACTCAATATAGGTTTGAACTTAGGACTACAGTAATCGTTTCCGAACATACACTCGGACCAATAGTGACAAAATATTGATTCTAGTTATAATTGTTGTCTTTGATCGATATAAGGGATTTATCGATAGTTTTTTAAATTTCATTTTAGTTGAGAAATTAATATAACGTAGTAAGTCTAAAAAGACATATTCGTCATAAAACATATTAAAGTAAAAAAAAATCGTTATTTCTGCCAAATTTTTATGGACCAATTCATTAAAAACCACAAAAACAAAACATAAAACATTTTTCGATTATTATTGTTTTGTTGTACAATGTAATTTTCCTTTTTTTTAAATCATAGAGTTTATTGGTTTAATATTTACAAGATGCCCTTGTGGTGTCAGTGTAGACAAATTTGGTCTCCACATGCTTCTTGTCAAAAAAGTGCTGGTCGCCATTCCCGCCACGGTTCCCTGAACGACATCATCCATAGGGCTCTTGTTTCCATCAATTTTCCATCAATTTTAGAGCCCTGTGGCATTTTCGCGACTATAGTAAGACCCGACGGTTTAACTTTGATCCATTGGGAGAGAGGCAAAGCCCTTGTTAGGAGCGCCACTTGTATAGACACTTTGGCTGCCTCTCATCTAAGGGGTACTTCGGTCAGGGCCGGGGCGACATCGGAGGCAGCTGAAGTAAGTAGATGGTGCAAATATGAGTCTTTATGTTTAGATTATGTATTTGTACCATTTGCTGTTGAAACCTTAGGTCTGTCCCCGCACATCAAAATTTTATGTCTTAACTAGGCTTAACGCCGGGGCTGGTGGCGGAGAGCTGGTTCTTTTTTCGCTCAAAGGTTAAGCAAAACTATTCAGCAAGGAAGTGTAGCTAGCGTTCTTGGCACCATGCCGCGTGGATTAGATTTTGCTTTATTAATTCATTTGACTTTAAGATTTTTTTAATCAATTCGTTTTCCTGTTAATTAAAAAATTAACAAATTAACAGGAATAAGATTTTCTAAAATTGTTGATTGCTCTCTTATACTTTATATTTGTTTGTTTATTATTATTCCTATTATATTATAAAAGTAAAAGACAATCATGGTCTATAAAATGTATAGGGATCATCTGTATACATTTTCGAAAACCTCGTAAGATACTATCGATAGTATCCTACGGCCCATCACTAATAGTTAATGAATGAAGGGCACGCAGCGCGACGACGAAACACGTGCGGTGCCCCCCGCACCAAGCGGGATTAGCGCTCCCCTCCTTCACCACCTAAATAGAAAAAAATTCACTGCATACAGCGCCTTAAGTTGGTTTTTTACATATTAAAATTTTCGGGGCTGCAACCTTTAGTACATTGATAGGGATCCCTAAGGAATTAAGGAAGCACGATAAACAGCACGATTTGGGGAAATATGATTACTTAATTCCGTTCCGTGAGACTTCTTGGTGTACTAAAACGGAAGACCCGGCTCCATTCCGATCGTCAATGTACCCATTGTCCACTTTTAATAGATTTTTACGATCTGCAGTATTTATAAATCCAAAAGTATATTATAAAGTTATCTGTAACGTAATTCACGTCAGATGTGTCATCGATCTCGCCCAGCTTGAGAGGGAGAGAACTCACGAGCTTTGGCAAGAGTTGGAGTACGGCCACGGGTCTCTTCATTTATTAGTAACGCTGAGCGGTTCAGAAAGCAGCGCAACTGTGGACAGCGTGCCTACAACCAACAGTGTACAGCACATCGCTACAGCGGACGATAAATATGTGAGTAGATGTTGTTCTAGGGTTCGGTACCCAAAGGGTAAAACGGGTCCTGTTATTACTAAGACTCCGCTGTCTGTCTGGCTGTTTTTTTTATTAGAGAAGGTGACCACGAGCAAACGGTTCACCTGACTGTAAGTGATAACCATCTCCGTGGACAGCAGTTATCTTGTCAATCTTTAAGGGGGTTAGACCCGGTTACTCAATAGAAGAAAGACCGATATATAAATTCCTTCACATCATCATCATCATCATCATGTCAGCCTGTTTGAGTCCACTGCTGAACATAGGCCTCCCCCATAGACTGCCACGAAGTACGATCCTGAGCCACCTGCACCATCGACTTCCCGCACATTTTTATTTGCACATAATTAAATTAATTAAAAAAATCATAGTCAATCATGTTAGTGGCCAATACAATGTAAAATTTTCTTTATTGAATTTAGGCTTGTTTATAGCTCTTATGAATATCTCTGAAAGGTTCCTCTGCTAGCACGCTCAGTGATTTTCACGCTAATTACAATATATTTTTAACAGAATTAAAATGGCGGTTTTCTCATTTTACCTAGTCTAATCATAGACACTTCCATTTAACTGACCATCACCAGACCGACGCAATGTTGCAGTCTGTTTATAATTTAAATTGAAAAGATTTCTGTAAATACATGATATCCTCGAATGTAAATAACGTCTGAAGCTTAAAAGTAAATGATTCCCTTCTTAACCAACTTGAATACACAATACCATTACATATATTAATATTTATTTAAACTATTTTTTTACCAAAAACCTTCGTAGATCTTCGCTTTAATGTTTGATTTCTTCCATTTATGCAATGAGGAAGTGACATCGACTAACTTACTTATATAGTCTACCGGAAATGGACCGATTGTCGATCCCTGTGATACACCCATTTAAAACACATAAACGGATGACAGTACATTATTCAAGTTTTTGTTCTCTAAAAACAAGAGATAAGAACTTATTTTTCAACTGCAGTTGTATTTACTTCTCGAAAATCGAAATTTGTGGTATTTTTATTTTTATTTGTGGTACTTGAAAAACATATTCAAATAAAAAAAATGAAACATTTCAAGAAATAGATTTTAAACGACAAGTCAAAATCTGCACTGATTCTTGTTTGATTTCTCTGACAGTTTAAGCAAACTACTAGAATTTATGAACTTAAAATAAAATCAAAATGTCGCACTAGTTACATAATTTACACTTTATTTTTACCCATTAATCGGAACTTGGCTTACTCTGGCCATAATATGAGCACTAGCGTTATGATAATTATGAACCCCCGAACATAATATTTAAAAAAAAACTCATTTTTTGTTGAATTAAACCTAGACCTTTTAGCTAGACCCTAAAGAGTCCGTGAATAATGTTGAGAATTTGAGATCTACTGACTTCATCATAGAAATAATATTCAATGCAAATCTCTCTTTTTGGTCACTCTAAAAATTCTAGTAGAAGTATCATACCTATTATTTCGTCTGGTGACTGAGGTAATCGGGAACCATTCGGAAATCCTTTAAAAATCTAGGTTTTTAAAGATTGGAAACGCATTTGTAACCGTTCAGGTATTTTAGATGTCCCAGAGCGGCAGAATTCCCTTAAAATCTGGTGAACCGTCTGCTCACTTGCCAACTTTGCAGATAAATTATATACCAAAGTTGACTTTGGAAACAATTTCTTGATTTCTTGATTCTTGATCATCATTATAGGTACACGATACATACTGAGATAAAACTCATCCAGTGGGAGTTATTATTGAAAATAATCAAACATTACAGTCCACGGGGCACTTCAACGTTAATAAATATTAGTTTTTCCACTCTTCGTTATATTTATGTACTATGTGACTTGTACGTTTGTGTTATTTTGCATGCGTACTTAGCGAAGTCACGTTTTCTTCACGTGGAGTGCAGTGCTTAGTTGTATTGTTTTTATTTCTTTCGGTGGTAATAAATACGTTTATTATAACTAACATTTTTTAGTACGGTTAATAATAATAAAATAATTATATACTGTGCAGTGCTTTACAAGAATCTTTTCGTTTATCTTTTGGTTTTACTAAAAAATGTAAAAAAGCAATATTTTGTAAAGTTATAATTATTATTAAGTAAATGAGGCCAGTTTAAAATTTGTTGAAAAACGGCCGTTTAGCTCAGTGGCTAGAGCGTCGGTCGCGTATTCCGGAGAACGCAGATTAAATCCACGCTGTGGCGAAAAACTTTTCATTAAATTTTCTACAAATTTTTAATTTCATCTTAGTTCCAGATAATAACACTATAAAAATTAATATCACTTAAACGTCAGTGCTAGTAATTCTAGTCAACTAAAAAAGTATTACAGCAGTCTTTTAACCAATTTTAAAAGCATTTAGTGTTACTAATTATTAAAAGACTTATACTGTACTAGCTTTTCTCCCCCGGCTTCACTCGCGTTGAAGCCCTTAAATAAAAAAAATAGCCTACGTCCTTTCTCAAGCTTTAGACAGATAGTGTACCAAATTTCATTTAAATAAGTTCAGTAGTTTTGACGTGAAATCGAGACAGACAGACAGAGTTACTTTCGCATTTATAATGTTAAGTATGGATTTCTTTCTTTGTTTTCTAAGAAGTAAACTTTGCAACAAATGGAAACTCCGCCGTGTATAACATAAATATACTGAAACAAAAAAATATTCTTATCATAATGCATAACAGTTTATACCTTTGAAACGATGTAATATCATTGCGACAGAATGAAAACATTAATTATTATTTTAATTTTTTCATAAATTAACAAAAACTTTATGGAGCATTTCTGTTACTTATTTGCCTATGATTTAAAGTCTAAACGTCGCGTGTTCACTCGGATTATATAAAATAATAATGAAGAGTTTTTGTTCCTCATATTAAATAATCTTGTATTAGCGCGTATACTTACGTATAGAAAGATTCTACAGCGTTGACTTAGTAAGGCCTTCAACATTAAACGTATTTAGTCATGAGTGTGTCGTGACGTCAATAAAGTTGGAAAAAACTTCGATTATGGCTTATGTGGTTTATGCAAATTCATAATCAAACGAAGCATGAGACTGCGTGAGGTAAACAAAAAATGTATGACACCGTGATTAATAATAACTATGTACTTTATGTAGTATATAGTGCTTGAAAAAGAGGAAAATTTTACGGCATTGAAATCATAGTATTTGATGTTTTCAAAATAAATATTTTTTTTATTTTTTAGTTTCCTATAGTCTTTGAGACAAGGATATATAAACATTTTCTATTCTAAAAAACTTCGACAGGAATTTCAAATAAATTCAATAAAATCGATACAATAATTTTATTTAACAATGTGAAATATTTCGTGTAAATACCAGAAGTCTCTGTTTAATTGATTATTAAACAGATATTAATTTATGTTGTCTTACTATTTAAGCTCTTTAAATATTAACATAACATAACATTTTTATTAACAAAACCGGAGTCAATTATCTCTTTAGCTACACATTTCGTTTATTTTGGGGAGTTCATTGGTGTGTCTCGGAATTCAAGGTCCAATACCAATGGAATTAAAAATTAATAAAAACGGTTCATAAATGACGGAGGAATCTGAGAAAACAAGCATACAAAACAAACTTGGTGCTTTTTTAAGTCGGTTGAAATTGGACTGGCTCTGGCAGGGTGTTCTTAAATGAATTCTAAATAATTAAATTTAAAAAGTAACAATGATATGTTTACTGCAGCTGTTGTTACGGTTTTGCAACCTGCCACAAGTTCAACAGTATTTGACTATTCTTAGAAACAAAGATGTTTAAAGTAACATTTAACATACCATGATGTTTACATAGTTTTACTTAGTATTGACATTTCTGATCTATAACATAAAGACATGTATTGAGCGTGACTTTGTAGCGTTTTTTATCGGTAACAATTATCAATCGTTATTGCCTAAGCAATCAAGGATAATGACAATAATATCTACGCGCTGTGCACACAGACATGGTATCGTCTGGAAAACAACTGGAACGAAGTCGGTCAGCTATCAGTCACCGTGCACGGCGCCAGAGGTCTAAGTTCCCTTGGTCTAAATGGGAACATAGACGCATACTGTGTCCTAGAGGTGGACAACGCAAGAGTCCAGACCCACGCGGTGCACAACACCTGCGAGCCGAACTGGAACAAAAACTTCATATTGTAAGTAAATTTGCCTTTAATTTAGCTAAGTAACCCGGTTCGTGCTACATTTTATTTATCTGCCGGCTTAATTAACAATTTACATAAGAAAAACAAACACAGGCATTCGTAACGTACTGTTTGTTTAACGAGGATATGTAAATTATAAATTTATCAGAGCAAACATAATATATAGAGCAGTCCTAAATTGAAGCAGTTCTCGAGCATTTTATTTTTCTTACATAATAGATTCCTATATTATGCTTTAATTATAAACTTCGATTATCGAAAGGCTTTCGGCCTCTCCTGCGCTATCTGCCAGCCGTTAGCGTTAGGCTCATTCATATCTTTCCGCGGAATAGTTAGTAGTAAAACTGTTAAAAGAAGAGAATAAAGAACACAGTTTTCTCTATTCAGAGAATCTTTCACCTTTTCACCGTAAAATCGAAATGTTGGACAGTCCAAAGTATGCGCCGCGTGCGCATACTTTGGACCGTCCATATTAACGTCCACATCGCATAGATAACGAAAATATAGTAATATGCGGATTATGAACGAATAAATTTGTTTTTCTTTAACGGATTAATTATCGCAATCACCTAGTAAATTGCTACTCCAAATCTCACAAAAACATTCTTAATTAAACTCCTCCTATTAATCCTCCTAAACATCAAGAATTTAATTCGGGCCTCGATAAAAATAGTGTTCATGTGCACCCGTTAAAAATATACGTTTGGAAATAAAATCTTCTTTGAGACATTAATAAATATAGAAAAGAAGATCAAACATGTTTGAAAAGTATAACAAATAATTTTAGTTTCAATAGACAGTCGGCACACTTCCGTCTATATTTACACTTCTTTGTCGAGGCATCGCTAAAGCACGCGTATCTATTTACGTGACCCTACTTGGAGGGTTTAATAAGCCCGCAGGAACTGTAGGGTTTCTGCGTGTTCTTATCCGATGTAGCTTTACATCAACTCTAGGAATGAAATCGAAATATCAAATACTAACGAGAAGAGTAAACATAATTCATTTCCACGCAATGTCAACCCTCATACTCAAACTTCTTTTGCAGCAACATTAATGACGTGACATCCACGTTGGACATAACAATTTACGACGAATCCATAATCCAATCGATGAAAGGGGAAACACTGGGGAAGATATCAATACCTCTGTTAAGAATAAACAACAACGAAAAGAAATGGTATGCTCTGAAAGATCGATCAAAGAAGAACAGCGCAAAAGGGAATTGTCCTAGGATTTTATTGGAGATGTCTCTGGAATGGAATCCGGTACGACTGTTACATCAAATTATGCAAAAGTATCATCAAATGTAATTCACGAAAAGGAAAATTAAAACTAAATCTCTGTTTTTTAGATAAAAGCCTCACTACGTGTACTGAGTCCGAAAGAGACCAAATATGTTCAGAAGCCACCAAAGTTTAGCATACCTCTAATCTATAGCAATTTGAAATTCATTAAAGTCGTATTCGACTATATATATTTAGGCAACGAATATTTTAAGTGAGTACGCCTTCAAAATTTTAATTAAATTTGCATATTATGCACCTAAACAGAATACTTTATTTGTTTGAGAATTTACATTTAACCACATACACGACCTTTTGAATGTTATTATTTGATCAATGACTCCTTTAATGCATTTCCGAGACAATGTTGATTGGTTTCAATATCTCAATGTGTCTAATTGCGGAAGTCACTAAAAAACTGTTTTTTAACCTTTTCTTTAATATATAAATTTACAAAAAAGTCTTAGACAAGGACCGCATTTGATTTAAAGTAAATACAAAATGTTTAATATACGCTCGTACAAAGTATTCATGAATTTATAATGAGTATTAAAGAGTTAATAAACAAAAAGATTTATACGTGGTGAAATATAAGATGAATGAAAATATAAGATGAATAATAAGATGTTTTCAAGATCTTATCAATCATTGGAATTACACAACCTCTTTATTGTATTTTTAATTTATGTCATTAAAATTCTATACCAATGGCCACCCTTAAATGATTATTATTTGTTAAGTTAACAATTTAATTTAAAATGCCTAATTGACATCTCTTAGACGTGTTAGCTTTATATTTTTAATGAAGTCTACATGCTGTTGAAAAAAATATCGGTAGCGTCATACACTTCATAACAGACAATTAAAGTTCATAACTACACCTTGGCATATGCTCGGTTCCTGTATTCAACGAACGGCCGAAAGTTAAGCATAACGACTCGTTGTAACGACTTCATAATAACAATGTAACTAACGGCCTTTCGTTGAATATAGAAACCGGACTATAATAGTAGCATTAGTGCTTAAATCGCGCTTCATATATTGTTATTAGTTTTTACCTTATGGATAATATAGCTTACCTATGAATATAGAGAAACTACATAATAATAACAAAAAAACTTGTGGCACTCGGGGACTGCCGCGGTAAAGCTATTTATTGCATTTTTCAACTTATGCAATTATAATTATTTATTTATCTTTTAGTTATGCAGTATTATTTTCTTTGATATTATTTCAAGTTACACTTTTTGAGCGTGGTGAACGATAAGAAAACAATTTTTTTATTTATTTAATAAATGAGAAGTTAATATCGTTTAAAATATTATTTTTTATTTATATCTTACAATACATGTATGTTATTCAGGAATTTTTATCATTGAAACTATAGGTTTATGATAACTGAAATAAGAAACATAAATTTGAGACTTGATATCCTCTAAATAGGCCGAGCTACATGGTAGGCAGAGTGGGGGGTGTTAGGTTTTATTTTCGTTACGGAATTTCTTGATTCGGCCGCCGCGCTCAAAGTCCGCGATAAAAGCTATGCAATAGCTATTGCGTAGCTTTTATCGCGCTATATATAAGCTATGCAATAGCTATTGCATAGCTTTTATTAATATAAATTTAATAATGAAAATGATTCAGATCCTTATTGCCCACAGGAATACATTTGAGTGGGAGAATCGGGAACAATCGGCCCTGGCATTGGGTGCATGGCTGATATTCTGGTACTTCTTTCGAATGTGGATGACTCCGCTTCTTTTAGTGGTGCCGTTCATTCCTTACTGGGCGATGTATCGAGGTAACTTATCCGACAAGCTACATAATATTAACATTCTCAATGGTTTATGTCCATATTCAGTTTAATCTTTTTTTACAACGAGGCCCACTTTATTTAAACGCATCTACAACCCTACGAGTGTTGCAAATGTCCATGGGCGGTGGTTATTACATAAAATCAGATGTTCCGTCAGCTCCCTTGGCATCTTACAATAAAAAAACGAGGAAGACTGCTTCTTATGGTAAATATTTCTCTTTCACGCTCGTCTTCTGTTTCAAAATTATGACTTGTTTATGATGGAAAATTACTTTGTGCATCATTCGAAGTTTAAATTTCATCTAATAAAGTTAAGTACTTAACTTCTATTAGACCTTACTTGCATTCGTAAAAAATATAGGCTATAAATATGGAATCGTTTTAGGAAACAATTGTTCTCCGTTACTGCCGGCCTTCACTGAAGAAGAAGCATCAGAAGAAGAAATAGAACTACAAAAGGTAAATCGACATCTTATTATTTGCTGTTTAGTGCGTCAGTGAGTGTAAAGTAAAGACATAAACATGTTATATCTATCTATCGTTACACCTTTGTTTGAGTGTTAATAAAAGTTTCCGTGAACGTCATTCAATGATGATTTCATGGTAGTTTTTTAGGATTAAATTAAAGCGATATCCTTAATTTTTCTTTTATCATTTTTAATAGAAAATGTAATATGATTTTTTTAACTTATGTATTGATTTAAAAACGAATAACAAAAAAATTACGTACAAAATGATGACGCATGTCCATACTGCGCGGCGCTTAAAATTTGTTCCGCTTTACATTATATGACATATTTACGTGAATGTGACAGATGATTTTAAAAAAGATAGTACTCACGGTAGTAAATAGATACAGAAAGAGATAGCAGTCTATTAGAACTGCAATCTAATTATTAGGCGTTAATCCTATTGGCGTTATTTGAGTGCCTCAGTTTCTCAGAGCATAACTTTAAACATTTTTATTTAACCGCACAAAACAAAGATTTATTTTTATTTTAATATAAGGAAAAATGAATGTACGTACCTATTTATTTATGTATTAATATTAGTTTTTATTTTATTATATTTTAGAAATTTATGACTGCATCGTAGGAAACATTATGTATACATAATATACATTGTAGAAAATTAACCTAAATTCACTTTTCTGGACCACCCCCAGGTTGACTGGGAGATAATACTGAGGTCACTAAGTCGGCCTTTGCACATTTTATTGCGCACATGAAGTATAAATAAATAAATTTGAGAGATACAAAGATAAAGCTTGCGATTTAAATTTTTTGTAATTTTACAATTTAAAATACGAATTAAGGCCAGTTCCGTAATTCATAAAATACATGCATTTATTTTATAACTGTGTGCAGTGTTTATTATGAATATTGAAGTTTCATTACTTATTATAACTTCGTAAAATTTAATTTTGAATACATTTATGTGATTTTGGTTATAAAGATTGGAACAAGAATTAAATAAGTGCTTCCTTACTATATTTCCAGGATGATAAAACAATTATGACACGGTTGAACCAGCTGCAAGATCTTACCTTCACGATAAAAAATGGCATTGACTACATAGTTTCGGTGCTCGAAAGAATTAAAAAGTAAGGATCGATGAATTATTTTAAGCATACCAGTAACATCATTGAACACCATAAAACAACTACAAGTAAAGAAATTAAATTATGATGCAATAACTTTTTTTTTACTTTTCCTATTTCGTTAGCTTTTTTGCCTGAAATAAGAATTTTGGAGGATTTCCCTTACACTAGTATGTTAAAAAATATATATATATGTAATATAAATATATTTTGTTACAGCTTGTTGAATTTTAGCGTGCCGTATTTAAGCTATTTAGCAATAATCGCTTTAACAGCAGCTGCTATAGTGTTTTATGTGATACCTGTGAACTACATATTTATGGCATTAGGTAAGCTTCTTTAATTTTTGTATAGAAATTTAAAACATCTTTATTTTTATTTTCTCCTTATGTTTAGTATGTGACTAACACTCCCCACATCAGCAGTTGACAAATAAACGGATCACCTCCTTTGCGCACCCCACAAAGCACTATACTTCCACTATATAAAACTTAAATCTTCTGTAAAACCATTTCTTTGTGAGATGCTGGCGGTGCACTTGATGGTAAGTGCCAACCGCCGCCCATGGACATTTGCAACACCCGGAGGGTTGCAGATGCGTTGCCATAAAGTTGGCCCTCACACACCAGACGAAACGCAAAGTCCTTCCACTTCACGCCGGTTTTCTGTGAGGCCGTCGTACTTAACCGGACGGACCTGCCCCTTAGTACAACATCAAGAACTGATGCATGTCACTTCCCCCTAGGAAAGCATAGGATTTATAAAAATATATCCAATTTAAAAATTGCCTGCTCTTTTCTATTAATCGTGATATCACTGACAGCTTAGAGTTTCAACTCCACTGTTGTACACTACTTTACGGACTTGTGTCACACTTAACTTGTCAGTTCACCAAATGTATAAAATTATAAAATTTTGTGCGCAAAATTCGAAAAACAAACATGCGTCAATTTCTTAAGTGTTAAAAATAAAATCGAGGACTTATGTTATCAAGGTGAATCATTATTTTTATTTTTATTAAACTAAACACCATTCTGTCAAGTATCATTAATAAAATCATGAAATATAAACAAATATAACAACATAAACAAACCCATCAATATATCAATCAACCTCTTCCGTATTTACCGTATTTATCATGTTCGGAAAAAACAAAAATAAAAGATTGACTGACGAGCAGAATATGTAAGTTTGTAATACACTTCTTTTGTCAATGTTTACGATGTTTCTTGAAATGAAAAGGACCCTCTAAATTTCTATTTAAGGCGGGAGCGCTGCACTGTAGCCTTTGTGGTTATTTTTTATAAACACCCAGAAAACAGTACTTTTAGAATTTTTAAAGACTTTTTTTTTAATAATGCGAGGTTATCATTTGGAAAAGTATGTGAATTCGTACATTTATACATGTTGTCAACAACAAAATGGCGATCGAAAACTATAAGCAACTGCCAAATTTTGCTTGTTGATTATCTCATTAGCGATTTTTCTTTACCGAATAAAATTTTTGTTTGGTCGAAAACGCACGGACACTAATGGAAAATTTTACTAAGGAAGTTATGTAGTGTAAAAAAGACCAATCACTATACTTATCCTGTGGTAGAGCCACGTAACAGATTTTGTTTGTGCATGGATTCTTACTACTTTTTTGTACTAGTTATTTTGACCGTACGAGGAAATACCATGACCTCATAGATGTATTTATGCTTATGCCTTTTTATCATCTGAGTGCATTTAAATCCCAATAACCTGTTTAAGCTTGGAGTAGCAACAATAATCCCTCGAGTATGATTGTTGTCCTTGGGTGACGGTAATCAATATTTTTCAATATTAATCGCTTCCTCGTCTGATGAATTCTCTTATGAATACATAAAAAAGCCAGTATACGTATTATAAACCGACGTAAGTGATTACGTTCTCGGAACTGTTGTTTGCGGCGTTGATGACGCCAACGCACGAATCTCGCCAAAGCTTGTCAGAAGTCATCATTCAATCAACAAACGGTTTTCTTTTTTAGGCATGTACAAGTTCACGCGGAAGGCTTTAAATCCAGATAGAGTTCCCAATAACGACATCCTGGATTTCATATCTCGCGTTCCGGATAATGAGATTTTGGTAAGCTTTTTTTATAAAGATATTTTTTATAAGTATAATGATGTTTTTTATACGGGTGTTTTTTTTTTCTGTTGAACTTTCTCTGTGACCTTTTGATATTTTTTGACGATTTTTATTAATGCATCTGTGCTTCTTTACAGAAACAATGGCGGGAACTGAAAGTTGCAGACTCAACTTTATGTCGGTCCAATTCTATGAAGCGGCGGTAGCGATTTCGTCCATGCTCTGTACAATTGAATCTCCGTAGAATGTAGTGCCATAAAGCGTGTGAAATTTTATTACCCTACGTTATATGCATAGGGATAATGAAAATTGTGATCCTTGTAGTTAACTAATATTTATTTATATTTTTTTAAAAGTGCAATGTACAATTGTATGAACGTGAGAGATTTTTCACTTTTTATACAATGGAAACTTATTAAGACGTAGTAAGGCCTATATGGGCCTACATTATATTTACTTTAACGGTTTAAGACTGTCGTGGTCCTGGGGCTGGTATATGTATAAGTTATTTGCATTTATGTCGGTGTTCACTTTGTGACTTCGATGCGACTTTTGATTACAAAGTGATATCAACATGCTTGTCTATGTTAATAAAAAAAACTTTGTGCCAACTAATTCATTGATTCGGTTCAGGAACATTCAATTCCTCCCAATCTTTCTGTGAAAAAAAAAATACATCAATCTTACGTATTTCATATGGTGTATTTAAAACAACAAAAATTCGGCCGTTACCAATTCACTGTTGTTCGGAATCCTTGAAACGAAGTCTAATAAATCGTTGTTTAATATTCTGTCAGGATTTAAATATTTCCTCATAAATTTATAAATACCTGAAAAAGATTTAAAATCTTTCTTCGTTATTAAACTCTTGAATTATACAGCAGGTATATATTGAATTAATCGCTATAAAGTGTTAACTTATGATTGAAAATTATTCATTTCCTACAGAAGAAATAAAAGAAGTTTTTTTTTTTATTTTAATGTAATCAGCAAATAGGTCCAGTTAAGGTCAAAACAACTTACTCGAAAACTTTATGACTTTATGATTGAGAAAGTAAGGAAATTGTATAAATTGTATAAATGAATGAAATACGCTTTATTGTACACCAGACAAAATTACAAAAGTAACAAACAACTACATAAAGGTACAATTAGCGGCCTTATCGCTTAGAAGCGATCTTCCAGGCAACCTTATTACTGAGGATATAATGATCAGTGAGAAGGGTTTGAGGTATTACGCTATTGTAAATATAGGTACTATATACGCATGTACACTACTATACACAAATAAATATACATATATATGAATAAATACATATATATTTATATATATTTATATATACACATAAACAGAAGGGAACAATAAGTGGATAAAAGCCATATAACGCATTGGAAATTTATTTCTATATAAATAATGAGAAAAAAAAAGGTAAAATACCACAATACAGAGATAAAATGTTTAGGGGGGAAAAAAGTAAGCTTTAACGAGTCTTAAATATTGCCAGTGATTGCGCCCGCCGGATTTAAAGCGGTAAGGATTGCTTATTATTTACCGAGTAATTCGCATTTTATTAAGTTTTGACAGTCAATATCAAATAAATACCTCAAATAACCTATAAAAAGACATTTCTATCATAAGCTGATGATCACAGGTGCGTTATATATCATATTTAAAAAATAAATAAATTATAATTAAAGTAAGTAAACATAACAGAAGCATTAACTCTTTAATGTAAAGCCACAATGCCAGTATAGACTGGTTTTGCCACTCACTGAGGTTGCCTCCCCAGTTCCAATATTCTATCTCCTGTAACCAAATCTAACTGTAGATAAAATATTGAAACCGGTCGTTAGACGACTGTTCCTAACAACGTAAGCTGTCATTAAATATACACCATATTTTGATGTTTTAGCATGCTTGTAAAATATTCATAATTTATTCACATCTTATATTCCATACTCGATTCGGCTTAGGGAACTTCAAGACCGATCCTATTCCTACATTCAGGCGCTTCTTTGACAACCAAATAGAGGTGCATGGGTCATATACTTGAATGTATCAAGTTCTCAAATAAATTTGATACTGGATAAAAGAATACTCACCAAACAGCATTAGTAAATAATTAAATGACATAAAATACAATGTTGCGGAAACGACCCCCAGTAGCAACATGAACACGTAACTCAGAAATGGCATCCGAAAGAACAGTAAGCTGAAATAAATTCGTAGATTTAACTTTTGCTTAAAATATTTAAATAATTTTACCGTTACAGTTGAAATCGAAACAAAAAGCAAGTGACACATTCTTTGTGTACATATCTTATGCAGCTTAGGCTTCATACGCTTACGAACATCAAGAAAATTAAACCTAGAAGAAATTCACCAGGTAGTTCAGCGATCAAACATTGACAAAACACGACAAGTGTAAGTATAACGTGGCCACGGTTATGGACTCTACAAGATATATCTTGTCATAATATTATACAAATACAACTACTTTCCATTATAAGCAAAGACAACGTAGAACAAAAAATAACCATAACTGAAACAAGAAAAGAATTTCTTGACTTTTTTATATTCCTAATATTGCCAAAAAGCGCAAAGCTCAACTTCAAGTCAAGCTTAATCTTAAAAAAAAACTGTAAAAATGCTGCCAAACCGGATTCGCCCTTTTCACCAGACCGGACATTGACCTTTATAGGATCGTTTGAGGAAGATTCCAAAATTGGCGGATTAAAAAATATAATATTTACAATATCTTAATTTCCAAAAAATTTTCCTAATATTAAGTCTTAATATACGACTAAGGCAGGATCGCCTAGGGAATCACCATAATCACAATATATATGTATGTAGTGAGGGTACATATATTATATGCCCCACTGCTGGGCATAGGCCTATGTACTCAAATATATCAGAATATTTTTTTTATTATTATTTCAGAAAATATGCAGGTTTTCTTACGATATTTTCCTTCACCGCTAAGCATAAGTAAATGCTAAGTGATAAGTCTTAAATTGCAATACCGTATACAAGCCAAGCATAATAATAATTTATCCTATTATAAATATTTGTGAATATTTAGGACATACTTTTACACAACGTTCCCTAGTCCCAAACTAAGAAACGCTTGTACTATGGCTAATTGAGTACTAGATGATAATAATAACCAATATACCGATAATAATAATACACATACTTTTTTTTTTTAATAAATACATATTATATATGTATTCACAGACACTGGAAAAACATTATATGTTTATCACACGGTACTTTTCCAGAGGTGGGTATCGAACCAACACCCTCAGGCGCAAGAGGCAGTTTCATAAACCACTACGCCAAACGGGTAGAATAATACATATAACAAACATACACGAACAAAGAAAAAGAATGCTGTGAGCAACTTACATTTTAATTTTCTCAACTAACGTCACAACTATATCCAGTACGTGCGATACAGTCATAATGGTTTCTTGCATATCATTAATTTTGTACGATAGCCCCTTAGTGTCCTAAAAGCATAACGAAGAAAATTTTAAACACGATCTCTACTCCTTGTTTAAGTTGCTTAAATAATTTATATGCGCCCGTACTATACAATAATCGTCGATTTGCACTACGAGCATAATATTCCGCGAGGTGCATACTCGTATCTCTGTATTTAGATGCCGAAATTAGAATTTATAACTTTTTCAAATTTAGAATAAAACCATTATAGAAGTAGTTAAAGTGTACCACGAGATTGCAGTAGTTTTCTGCTTATCAACCATGTCTGATTAATGTTAAAACGTATTTCATCATATCTTATTCAATAAATAGAATAACAATAACACAGTATAATTACACAGTATAATTATTTTGAATTCGTTCGTCATACTTTTTGAAATCGAGGAGAATCTACTGAGGGAAGTAAGGACGTTAACCTTTTTGCCTCTGCGTTTATGCCTTTAGTGCTTGTGAATTCTAAAAGTTTATCTGCGTCAGGGTTGTAAACTTTATAATTAGTTGAAATCTATAGTTAAATGCTTCAAGAAAATAAAGTTCAACGCAAGCCATTAAGCCAGAATTTCCCTAAGACAGAGGCGAATGTCTTTGGAGCTTTGCGCGATGGCGCAGAGTCGCCATGAGACAGAGGCAAACGGCTTGTGAGCTTTGCGCATTTTTGGTGTTATTTAAAAGTGCTTATATATATATATATATATATATATATATATATCTGTTCCAATAAAAATTCTATTAACGTCATTAGTTTCACAGCAAACATACGAATGAAAGACAAAAAGTGTTTTATTAAAGCTCACGATTCAAGGCGACATGCATACATACCTTCTGATTTTCGGTTGATCCTATTTCACTATTCCGGTTACTGGCAATATCGTTAAAAATATTACCATCTGTAATAAGTATATAAAAAAGGTTAAATAATTTAATTTAATATTTCGATATAATTCTAAGGGCAATGACAAAATCAATATTACCTTTTACTCTAGTGTAAAACCAAAAGAAGACGAAGATAACCAGTAAAATGAAAGGAATCATCCACGGCTTTAAGTGGTAGCAGATAATTAACCAGGCCAGCAGCGAGCAGGCCGATAGTTCTCGATTATCCCACTCAAATAAAGATCTGTTTAAAAACAACAATAAAAATGAAACTTGTATAAATGTTTACAATGTATATAAATGGAACGAAAATTATGTACAGAAACTAAAACTAACTTGGAAGTATTAAGAGATAAGTAGTTATTTTGTAAACAAGTGCTCAAGATTGTTGTAAATCGTTAGAAAATATCTGTACAAAATGAATACATTTATAATTAAATTATTAGTTGGTACATTTTAATACATTGCTCCGAAACTGGACACTATGGTAAACACTTGTAATGATTACTTTATATTTTTTCCAAGGCCAACCCAAAGCAAACATAGTGGACTGAGTGAAACAAAGCAGAGTGAGTAGAGATGAACGAAGGAGAGTGGAAGAAAGTCCGGTTAACGCAGCTTGCGGGGAGAATGATTTCTTCCAGTTCACACTGAGTTGTTAGAAATCATCACGTGAGATAAAACGTTATGCATCTCCCACTCGACTCTCACTTCTCTCTCTTTCTTCTTCTTTCCACCACCCTACCACACGCTACTCGATAGAGCACCGTTTAATTCTTTTTTATTTAGTTTATATTTCACTATTTTATATCTAATGTTCTCTAACTGAATATTTTTCCTGAAATGTTAGAGTTAGATGAAACGTTTTGATTTAATTCCTTACCTTACATTATTTGTATAGGAAAAATGACAGAAAACAAAGTTTCGGACATAATCTACCCAATGTTCAATCACATTTCATTGCCATCAACAAGTTAAAAATATATGCAGGTATAATTTTTATGTACCTAAAAATTTGCACTTACTTAAAATGTTCATTAACACTTAAGAGTGTATTAAATATGTTCGCCAAAACGATAATCTTTTTAAAAAGAAGTGGAATATCCAATCGATAAGGCTTTTCTATATGTTTAACCTCCTTCGGACGAAACAGTTTAATAACTGCTTTTACCTAAAAATTATTGATACACATGCAATGAAGAGTGTTGTGAGACTTATAACTAACTGAAGAATTTATCGCAAAAATACTTACTGGGTCCCATTTGATACTTATATGAAGCAATATTCTGGGAGATTTGCCTCTCGCGATGCCTCGATTATTTCTATCCTTTAAAGCGTACCACCTCGTTTCTCCATCCCTAATCTTCAACAATGGAATTGAAACTTGACCCCGAAATTCACTTAATAACGTATCCGTCAACGGGCTACCGTGTACTTTCAATTTTAACACGGATGTGACGTCATAAACGTTACTAAAAACAACTTTTAATGTTCAGCAAAAAACTAGTTAGCAACAATTATTTCGCCTCATAATTCTGCTCAACTAAGGTGTAAAAAACTCATAATTTTAGAAGATAGAAACTTACGACATACCCAACGATACCCAAAATAACGCCAACGATAATGTTTGTTTTTTATAGTTAGATGATATCTCAAATTACAGGTTCCTACATAAAAACTTGGGAATTTGATACCGAATTAAAAATCCACTTTCAAGTCTTGCAGAAACTAATATATATTTTTCTTATATCAGTTTTTATTCAATATCCCATTGTCGTGGATGAATTTATAAAATAATGACACTATGCTATACGTAATAGAAAAATGAAAACAGTTTGTTACATCATAAATCTGACTTCATTTATATCGCAATTATAAACAACATCATGTAGGTACTACAAGGCAAACACCCAGAAAGGTCATCGTACTTGTAACGCCAAAAATCTCACCGGAAAAGATACGGCCCTTAAACAGGAAAACATACCAATCTGACAATATGTCTGATAATGTAACTGAAGCTTATTTTTTATCATAACACTGACTCACTAAAAATTTTGAGATCCCCATCGTTACAGTCTAGATATTAATTAACCATATTCGGATCCTTTGCCGCGCATATTCATTATCAACAATCCGGCACTTGTTAATGTTAAAATATACACGTCTTACAGAAGATCGATGTGAACTAGAAGTACTTCTGCGTTTCGTGTCGTGAGTGAGTAACGGTGGCCAACTTTTGAAAGATTGCCAATGCATCCCCATTTGTGTTGTAGCTGCGGCGGTGTCACATACAATCACTTGCCAACTTTTCGCACGAATAAAAACTCCTTTACGTGTTCTAGGTGCACTACATTAAAGGTTCTACTGTTAAAACTACACAACTACAACCCTGGTGCTATAAACGTCTATGAGCAGTGCACGAGGGTTCCGTACAATCTATTAAAAAAAATCATGTCTGTTGTATGGGAGCCCCACTTAAATATTCTTTTATTCTGTTTTTAGTATTTGTTGTTATAGCGGCAAAAGAAATACATCATCTCGTGGGCGTAGAAGGAAAACCCGCTAAGTCCAAAATTCCTCATTTGGAGATAAATGGGTTTGAAAATTCAATAAGTCGTGAAAAATCGCATTATTCCTTCAGGACTTAGCTGAATGACTTAGCCTGAAATATGGACAACGATTTTTTTTAATGGAGACCCGGTACTGCAGAACCCCCCAAACATTATGTGGACGCAAAGAACGCATTTTTAGCCAAAAATGGACTTAGCGGGTTTTCCTTCTACGCCCACGATCTGTGAAACAGCCTGGTGACAGACGGACGGACAGACAGACAGCGGAGTCTTAGTAATAGGGTTCCATTTTATCCTTTGGGGGCGGAACCCTAAAAAAAGGCTTCATACAAGACAATCAAGACCCGGACCTGGGTCAATGCACCGGAGACTTATAATTTACGGGGTTACTTACAACACGTAGTTCTTGTTCCACGTCGGCTCCAAACTTGATCTCGCCGTGTGCGTCTGTATTCTCTCATTGTCCAGTTCCAGCGTACAATAGGCGCTCGACTTTCCGCCCAGTCCTTTAACTTTGATCACTTTCACATTCATAGAACCCACGAAACTACGGCCAATGCTTAAATCTATATCAGACTGAAAAAATTAAATTAAGTTAATTAACTAATTATGGTATTTTTCGCTTGTTTGAACAGTATAAATTGCAATAGATGAGTTATGTAGAAAAATTATAAATTAATGGAATCGATTCATAAACCTTCATTATACTTTAGTATTACACGATTACGAAAAATACGAAAAAAGTAATAATATCGAAAGTATAAAACATATCTTAAAAAGTAAAGTAAGTAATATGTTTGTTATATTACGACCACGAACTAATCCCACTCACCCTGCTATAGGACCTCTGATGTGTCTGAAATTAGTCGGTACGAGTAGGTACATACGCCGCGCCCGGTTTAACGTGAGTTGAACCGTCTTATTATTACCTCAGAATGTCTCACGAAAGTTTTAATAATTAATTAGATCTCAAGAGTATTGTTTAAAGTTCATGTTTAAATATGATTAGGGGGATTTGTATATTATGCCAATGCTATTGAAATAAACAGTTCATAGAAAAAAATTAGTAACTAGAAGTGTTATGATCAAAAAATGAGCTCAAACAACTAGGGGAATCCCGAAATCATCAGCAATATTTTTTTAACACGCATTTTTACACAACGTTTTCTAGTCCCAAGCTAAGCAACGCTTGTACTATGGATACTAGATCATTAATTAACATACTTAATCATACTTCTTTGTAAATAAATACATATTATACATATATAAACACCCAGACACTAGGAAAATATTATGTTCATCACACAATATCTTTCCAGTTGTGGGGTTCGAACCCACACCCCTTTGGCGCAAGAGGCAGGTACACTACCCACTACGCCATTCGGGTCATTAAAATAATGCCATCATCCAGCTCTTTCCAAAAATTCGGATCCAGCATGTATTACATCTAAACCGATGCTTCAAAGCGAAAAATTTTTTCTATTATTTATAGGAACACATGTGTAGTAGTACTAAATTTTGTAAGAAATAAGAAAAAACAACAGAAGATTCATACTGACGACCTTCTGCGAGGATTTTAAATGTACTTTTATATTGTAAACTTAACGTAATGATAACAAAAAAATAAATTCTAAGATACCTTACTGTATACAAAATACTAAGAAACTATACAGGGTGGCTTTTTTAAAGGTGCCCAAATTCACACAGGAGGTTCAGACTCGGTAGTATAATCATTTATTGCAATAAAACAATTTTTACTTTTTTTCAAAAAAAAATTAAAATAAAGGAGTTGCCCATAAATCACGCACTTTTTGAGATAAGTTCAAATGAGTGTAATTAATTAATTACGAGTGATTTTAAATATTTATCATTTTTATATAACATTATTATGTCTAGAATTTAATTTAAAAAAATAGACACACTTAGAAAAGCCTCCCTGTATTATAGTGACTGGAAATCGGAGTTAGAGATCAGGAGGGGCAAAACCATATTATCTGATTTACTGTCAAACAATGCATCAAATTATTATTTTTATGTAAGAAAACGGCAGACGAGCTGGCTGTTCACCTGATGTTAATTTTTACCCGCCGCCCATGGACATTTATAACACCCGTAGAGTACAAATGCGTTGCCGCCTTTCAATAAAGCGAGCCCCTGTTACCTCACTCACCAGGCAAAATGCAGTATATCACTTCCACTGTGACGTCGTGGTACTTCGTACGACCCTGTCCATTCGTACCAACAGCGAAGACTGCTGCGTAGCCCTACTATAGGCAAAAGCTTTTTTTTTTTAAATCACCAATGTTGTCGTATAAAAGTCGATAAAACAAACTTGTTGTTTTTTAACAAAAAATTTAATATTTTTGCTAGTTTCTGCAATCAACACAAGTCCATATTTTTATTAAAGAAAAACAAAACCGACTTCAAAGCTCTGTATTGATTTTATAATTGATTTTCAGTAGTTCCCTACGGATCTCTGAAGCCAAAGATCCAATACCAATGAAATTAATATGGGATCACATGGGAAGCACTAGCTGTCAAAAAAAAAATAATCATTAAAATCGATTCTCGAAGTCAAAATCGAGAGTTCTGAGGTAACAAACATTAAAATAAAATACAGTCGAATGAAGAACCTCCTTTTTTAAAATCGGTTGACGAAATATTAAATTATGAATTTTATGATTTATTTAGATAAATGTACAAAAATTTACGGCTCTGCAGGATTGGAACCTGCGCCTTCCTGTTTCACGCCCAGACGCTTTAGCACTAAGCTAAGCGGCTGCTAAAGACGGGCACGGAGAACATTTTATAACGCATTTAAGAAAAAAATTTTAAACTTCAGTATCTTCAGAACAATTGCTTTTCAGATTGGATGTTCGATACATTGTTTGAGAGGAAATAGACTACAGATTTGCCCCTCCCGATCTTTTTCACGGATTCCTAGTCAGCCTGTATATGTATATAATAATTTATTTCCATTATGCGAATAAACCCAAAACAAATACATGAGGCGTTTTATCTTATCCTTTAAACGAGCAATTATTGTATATATATAATCGATCTAGCTAGGTTTCATTTTTAGATCAAATAATCAGAATTTCTTCACCTTAATTCCCACGGCCAGCAAACAACAGTGGTTGTCGGTTAAACGTTTAACCCGTCACTGGAAACTTTTAATTGAGAAAGCATATCCGTTTCCGTCTTTTTGTGCCAGTTTTAGTACCTGTATTGACCTTAATATCCTATCCAGTGGCGCCACCTGGCAGTTTGCACTTCACTTGGTTTTCCTAAAAATGCTAAGCGAAATTTTAATTCATTAGCGTTTCGTCTTCCGTCAAAGTGACTTGTGCTTACGTGAAATCTTGCTTGAGTGAAATAGTGCACTTAATACAAAATTAAAGGCAGAGTTTAAAACAAAAAGTGTCAACAAAATCTTATCGCGGCGAGTAACTAGTGACTTGTGAATCGTCTGGTTCTTTTGGAATTTGAGTACAGATACACTATATGATAATACTGAATATATAATAACACTATAGGATAATCATGAATTTAATACGGTTGGTTCTCATGCTGTGGCTGGTCCAAGTGGCGTAATCGCAAGCGAGATCAAAACAGTTCCATCAGCAGCAGTTCTTCATCGAGCAGTAGCAGTACATCGAGCACTTCTATTGATAATAAGAGGACACACTCTCGCCGTAGTCATCGCTTGCGTACAAAACAGATGATGGTCAAACTATTGGAAGAAGTGGGTGAGTTGCGCAAACACATTTTACCAGTCGGATAATAGCTACCGATCGAGCCGAGGTCCGGAACTCTCGGGCACCCTCGAATCGGAATGCTAAACGCGTGTTGAGTGACAGCCCAAGCCGAGGTCCCCTCTCGGGGACCCTTGAGCCTGATCACTCCATGGAGCGCCCGCCAAAGCGCCCTAAGAGCTTGGCGGCCTCCCAAACCGGTGATAATAAAGCACGACGGGCCGAGCCGAGGCTCCCTCGGGAGCCCTCGAGCTTAGTCACCATAACGCGTAATAATAATACGCCGAGGTTCAGGCTAGGCGCCCCGTGCGCCAGGCCACCGGAAGCCCGGGACTGTGAAGGCCCTTAAGGCCAACAGTGGCTCATCCAGCCCAAGAAAAAAAAAAGACATTTTATCTAATAATTTTGATAATGCTCGCCATGACAATGCATCATGCTCTTCTGATGTTAATGGAGAACTATATGATCATAGCGGTGCCCATGAAATAAACTCTCGCGAAGACGTTGACTTCACCTTTGATATTGGAACTAAGTTGAAAGAGCCATTGATTTCAAAACCTCCCGATGGCTACTTAAAGTTGCTTATTGATGTACAACGCTTAGGCTGTGCATCCTGGTCAGAAGTAAGGTATGCGGATACGCAGAAGTCATATAATTTCACGCCAGTTTTCATACACCTCGAAACAAACGATGAGGTGAAAGCATATGACAACTTACGTCACTTAGCACATAGTGAAAAAGCGTATGCAGGCTTGACCTTCGGTATTTTAAAGTAAAAGGAAGCTCTACAGGATAGCGTTTGCAACCTACTGTCTTGGGCGAAAAATACTATCAACATTAACAGCGAAAATTTAAACAGTACGGTAGAAGATCTATTTTAAAAAAATGATCTCCGAAAGATCTCTTCTGATCTGTTGCAAACAGTATGTGGTCATCGAGCTGAAAGTATTAAAAAGCGTCGAGAGACTATTACTAGCCCGGTTCGGGACCCATTGCTTAAAGGTACATTAAATAGAATACCACCATCGTCAAGTCATATTTTAAATCCAGAGCCGTTCACGGCAACATTAGAAAAGGTTGGTGGCGTCGGAAAAGCCTTTTGGCCACCAAAAGCATAGGCGAGACCTAACAGCGGTCCCTCGTGGCGGTAAGGTATTCGTAATCAAACAGTTCCATCGCGTGGAACCCGATATACTTTTCATGAACCAGCCCCATGCACACATCCATATGGCTGTAGAAACCCGCCCTCGCAGGGTGGTCACCAATATACCAACTTCCCAATTTTGTATATAGTCGGTATATTGGTTACCAACTGGGAAGGTCAATGTCAATCGTCAAACAAACGATATGACAGCCACTCTTATGGGAGAGAATCTAATCAAAACCATGGCTCACGGCCCGATCGTTCAAATAATCGAGGGCGACCCAATGCTCAAAAGATTATAAGAGGCACCCAAAACAGGTACAAACAATGACTCGAGAAGTTTCCAAGCAGGTCGGCTAGCGAAGTACAACACCCAATGGCAAGAAATGGGTGTACCAGAAATAATACTCAGGTTGATTCTTGGGAATCGAACCCCCAATTAAAGCATTTTAAAAGTAACTCATCCATCCCCAAGTTTTATTTCCCCTCTATTTCTAGTGCCTAAGTCCGACGGATCATTCCGTCCCATATTCAACCTCAAAGCTCTAAACAATTATGTGCATACCAGGTTTCCTCCAACCCCGAGACTGGGTGTGCAAAATAGACTTGTCTCAGAAATATTTCCACTTTAAAGTAGCGAAATCCCACAGACGCTTCCTACGTTTAATATACAACCACGAACTGCTCGAAATTACCTGCCTCCCGTTCGGGTTAAGCGCAACTCCAAAAACCTTCACAATATTGAGGAATTGGGTAGCACAAGCACTAAGACACAAGTGGCAGGTAAGGGTTATAGTTTATTTGGACGAGTTCTTAAAAGTACATCAAAAAGGTTCGCATATTACGCGAAAATGTCAATCTGGCTGTTCAATTTCTACAGCATTTGGGATGGCAAATAAATTTCGAGAAGTCCAATCTTCATCCTCAAAAAAGCCTGAATTTATCAGGTGGAATCCATGGGACAACCTTAAAATTTTACCAAAAGAAAAAACTGTTACAATAATTCAAAAGAAACTGCTTGCTCTCAGACAAAATGTATTATAGTATCCCTAAAAATTGCACAAAGTCTGGTGGAACTAATTTTGCCAGTTTTGTAGTTCCAAGAGGTCGACTCAATCATCGGCAGTTATTAATATTTCTAAATTCTCTCACATACAAAACATCAAGAGCTTACACTATACCAGAAAAGGTGATAGTCGAACTGCACTGGTGGCTCGAAAATTGTCATTTCCCAACACCTCTGCATTATCCACCCCCGGTCAACTTCCTTACGACCGATGCGTCAGTACTGGCTTGGGGGGGCACAATTGAAGGAAATAGCAATGGCGCGGGAACTTGGTCCGAAGCCGAACAAACTATGCCCTGCAACCAGAAGGAAATGTTGGCTCACTCACTTAATAAGCCACAGCTCGATTTTAATATAGTGCGACAACAAGACTGCTGTAGCCCATTTGCAGAAGGAAGAAGGCACGAAATGGCTACCCCTAATGAAATTGAAACATCAGATTTTGGACCTACAAGACGAACATCAAATACATCTTGATATACACTATCTCCCAGGCATTTACAATAACCAAGTCGATCATCTTTCGCGTTTACGTATCCTTCCAGAATGGCACCTCCTGCCAGACTGTGGAGACAGTGTTCCCGAAGTCGGGAACTCCAACGATCGATCTGTTTGCCTCTGCAACAGGGCATGTAGTATACAACTATGTCTCGCGAGACCTGAAGGACCAGCAAGCCCTATTTCAGGACGCATTCAACGTTCCATGGAACTCTCTAGTTCCTAAAGTGCTGAGACACCTAAACCACTCGACATTGTTTCTATTAGTAGTGCACGTTGGGAAAAGGCGTTTTGGCGCGTGGATCTCAAATCACGAGCGTTGACGGCCCCGTTCGTTTTGAAAAACTTACACAGAAATCTGATCGATACTTCGACGAGAGTACCACCTCCACAAGTCGAAAAAATCATCCTCGAGGTATGGAAATGTGGGGGTGGTCTACAGAATTAGTAAGATGGAATCATGAACAGCTATCGTTGCTGAAAAGTTCTTGGCGTAAATCTATATTAAGCACTTATGAGGTGGCATGGAAATGCTGGATTACTTGGGAAAATACTAAAAATATCGATATAGAAAACCTACAGGATCCCAATTGACCCAATTTTTGTCGTATATTTATATTTATATTTCATTTGTCGTATATTTATATTTCATAAATTATCTTATAACACGATACTTTTACATCAATCTGTTGTTTCAACATTGTGTAATGCCAAAACATCAAGTCTCTTGAGTTCACACTTTCTCGTAAAACACATTTTATAATCAATTGCTTTAAAAAATCCAAAAAATTAATGTCTTCCAATCTAGAATGTTAGTGAACTAATTTCATGTATTACTAATTATACTATTGATATAAATAATCCGTTTCAAACCTCGAGACATACCGCAAGTTTATTATTACTCTGTTCAAGAAGACGCATATACGATCTAACTTTACTTACATCTGATCCACAACATTGTCAGAAATCTGAGGAGAGCTTAGCATTTTGGCCTCCATTTGGGTCAAAAACAGATTGTAGTAATTACAGACAGTCTGGTTGGAGACTCCTTCATAATCCCAATAATCGTCATTTAGAGCCTATATACTGGATAAACAGAACCATTTTTTTTCCTTAATTAAAATTTATATAATACACAGTGGATATAATATGTGGCTACTGAAACCATAAATACTTATTATTTTTTTTATGCAAGATTCAATTCAAATTATACAATGACTTTGATTAAAAATTTGATTTTGTAATAAATATTTATTGTTACTGTGATATTAGCGTTATTACTAATAAGTGACGCCACCAGGCGATAAATAAGTTTCCAGTGACGGTCAATTATTTTAATAGCAGCGTTTTACCTCAAATAAAACGCATATTAAAATACTTACCCACTGGAAACTTTACCTTAATTTCTGCCTGGTGTAATTGCGCTAATGAATTTTTAGGAAAACCAAGTGAAGCGCAACTGCCAGGTGGCGCCACAGTGGATATAAAGGTCAATGCATGTACCTACTAAAACTGGCACAAATCGACGGAAACGGATATGCTTTCTCAATTAAAAGTTCCCACTGAGGTAAATATTTTAATATGCGTTTTATTTCAGATAAAACGCTGCTATTAGATGATATCACAATATTATCTTGCCTAATATCTAAGAAATCTTAGAAGAATTCCTCGAAATCCATCCAGTAGTTTTTCCGTGATGCATGCACAATGGCAGACTACTCGTATTTATTTTGTAGAATTTTCGTTGTTTTTTTGTTGTGAATGCTTGAATTTTATTTGCAGCATTTTATGTATGTACATAGAATAAATGTGATTTTTTTAAACTGTAACTTAGAATATTCATCTCATTCATTTTTGTAAGTGATACAATCCTTACTAATATTATAAAGGCGAAAATTTGTATGTATGGATGGATGTTTGTTACTCTTCCACGCAAAAACTACTGAATAGATTTTCATGAAACATTACAATAATATAACTTCTATATCAGAATAAGACATAGGCTATAATTTATATACATATTTTAGGTATATCTGTCTTTCTGTCTGAACGTTACGCCTTCAGCCTATAATACGCCAGACATAGTCGCGGGTGGCAGCTAGTTATATATAAAGATTATGAGATAAGATTTACCTTATTTTACAGAACAGCTCGTGGACAGTGCCATCACTAGCAGACGGAGGAAGACCTTTTGCGGCCACAAGTACTATATTTACTAATGTATCCCAATCATTCCAAAATCCTTGTAACTCCTTAAGAGTCCATATTGGCTTTTTTTCCTTAAGAATGTGAAAATTATAAATCTCATAATTCAAACTTAATATATCCTCATAACATTTATTTAAAAATTCACACAAAGTCGTACGACTTCCACTAACTATTATTGTATCTATATACCTTAGTGCTATGCAATGAGCTTAAACTGTTTAAGCTGCCATACTTATTTAAGCTCTTGGTAACAGGAGTCGATTCGTAAACTGGGCTTTTATTCTTATTTGAGTTGCCAACTAAGTTTATCAATGAAGTAGAACGCCATCTAAAAATATCAAAATAAATAGTTAACTACTGGTTCCTTCCAGTCCCTTCGATTTTTCGTATAAAAGTTTTATATAAAATGCTTAATGCTTATGATTCAGTCCTGTACATGTCCCACTGCTGGGCAAAGGCCTCCTCTATACAGAGGGTATCAGGGCATAGTCCAGCGGCCCCACTGCGGATTGGCGGACTTCACATATCTTCAAAATTTTTTTTTTGTTATTATTTCGAAAATATGCAGGTTTCCTCACGATGTTTTCCTTCACCGCGGAGCACGTGATAAGTCAGCACTTAAAGTTAAAAACTTCATTGGTGCCGGCACCGGGGATCGAACTCAGGTTGCTCGAGTATATTGAATTAAAGGCGAGCGTCCGGACACTGAGCTATATATATATACTATATTATATTATTACAAAATTTTATTTACAAGCTGAGCTATGACGCCATCTATTAGCCTTGAATTTGAAACCTTTAAAATGTATGAAATTTTTGTACCAAGATTAAAAACATTATAGTCACCAAATAAAAAAGCTACAAAAACCTGCACAAAAAAGGTTGGATGACCAGGCTCATCAAATTGGGCCAAAAATTTTTTTCTTTCTAATATTTCTATTGTTTTTCCACTTTCTGTTAGTTCTGTAGTTGTTTTTGATTGTTCGTTATAATTGTTGGTTCTCAAATTGTTTACTTATTTAATTCATTGTTTATTAATTGGACCCCACAATTGCAATTCATATGTTTTTGTCACTTTTGTATATAAATATAAGTTTGCACGATCGATATTTTTTATTTTTGTTTTAAACAATGTTCATTAAGGTTAATAATTATTCAGATAGATTTGTGTTCCGCATGCTACAATTTTACGTTTAAGGCGGTTTATTTAATATACAAGATTAAAGAGTTACGCAAATGTAAGGAGTAAAATAATATGTACCTACGTAAAAATTTGTATATTTTACATATATATTAAAAAAAACATTTTCTAACCAACTACGTCTAAATGTTTTTCAATTTTGGCTCCAAATTATGATTTTAAAATGTCTAGAAAATCTATTTTTTTTTATTTTTGAACTTGAACATAAAAAGGGACATTAATTTCATAACAACCCATTAATTTATTAATACAAATATTTACAAATATTTTCACGTACCCTATCGCTTTATAATCCATTATGTACCTAAAAAATAGGTATTTCACACGATATAAATTGAATTAACTTAGGAATCTCACCCAAAAAAATCTTTGAAAAAGTATAATCCATAGCCTAGAAACATTAATAACATATGTTACACGATCAAAAACAAACGACTAAAAAAGATTTGGTGAACCCGACGGTGGGATGTGGTTTTTACATAAAATAATTAAGTATAAAGCCAATCATAACACATCCATGCGTTGTAACAAAATAATGTAGTGTCAAATATAAAATTATCTAACATAAACAGATAGTGTTTTTATGAAACACTTACAGATGTAGAGATTTTTGTCTATTCGGCCTCTTTATTCCTTCATCGTCATTGCTCTCCGACAAGTGTCTAAGATTATAGCTGGAGCGAGAAAAAGTTCTCATACTCATTTTATTTTAATATATTGTATTTGAATGTCAACAGAATGTAATATGCCCCATACGTCAAGTATTATTTCCTATCATTTTATTTCGAATAATCTTATTAAATGATATCTTATCGTTTAAAAGCGATAAAACATTAATGAGTTCGTGTAAAATATCTTGTCTATATTTTTTTACATAACCCTGGTAATTTAGCATCAACGAGTATAATATTACTTTTATTTTTAAATTGTTGATTTGCATTAAACAAAACTCAAATATGGTCATCATATTTTTTAATTCATATAAAATATGAGTCTGTTGAAAGTTATTTATAAAAAGGGGCCCTTTTTATAAAAAAGTACCATCCCAACAGTATCAGCCCATGTGTACTGCTAGGCAAAGGCCCTATTTGTTCATAGATTATTATAATATAATATTAATAATGCTAAGTCGACCAATAAACTCCACTGATTGAGATTTGAAACTTCACATACCTATTACCTAGGTTTTATATAAATACATGATGAAGTTTGATGCAAAGCGAATAATTTCGACCAACTTCATGGTATTACCGTGGAAACAATTTATATAAAATTCCAAAACAAAATACCTATTAACCGAACTTTATCTATCAATTTCATTTACTTAATGTCTTTTTATTAAGTACGCACTTTTTTAAAAAAAATATTCCGAAAATATGCAGGTTTCCTCGCGTTGTTTTCCTTCACCGCTGAGCAAGTAATAAGCAGTTAAGCAGATATATAAAAGTACTCTTTGGTAATAAGTCAAGACTTAAAATAATGTCATCAACAATTTGGTTCCGAAGCCGGGATTTTAATTGGCACTGCTCGAGTATGATGGCAGTAACAAATATGTAACATTCAACTTCGACTCGATGGTTCATTATATGGAACTTTCATCTTATAGAATTTTATTTAAATAACGTTCATTATATAGAATTTCAGTATATATGTCTTATCTATAATATAGAATACAGTGACATCATTTGTTGAGTAGCATAACCTTATACGTAAAGACATTATTGATAAATTATACTGCTAATTACGAGTTACTTCTTACAAAGATTGACACGGTCTTAAATATTATGTTCCTAATGACAGGTAATTTGTGGAATAGTTTTTAACGCTAAACTTCATTTAAAATTTTAAATGATTGTAAGTCTAAGTTACTAACAATGATATAGAGGGGTTCACTAACGTAGGTATATAATGTATATATATAAATAAATAAATGAACATAAAAAATATATATATATATATATTTTTTATCTATATATATATATATATATATATCACCAACATCTTATCTTAATTTTAAGAAATAGTTAAAGTATTATTAAATAACTGTTCACAAATTTAAACTAGTATTTGGTTTCAAAACCAATATTTACAATAAAACAATATTGTACGAAAAGTATAACATGGAGGTATAAATAATATATTAGGAACAAAATATGAAAACTATAATTTATTTGCTTCAAACTGATTCACAGTATCATTTCTGAACAATGTCAATTAAATAATTTCCTAAACGTCCATCGCGATATAGATTTTAATTTAGCTTTTGCCCACATGGAGCGCTAAAAGTTTTCGTACCGCATCCGTAACATAATATGTGGCGCTAGCATCACTTTATTGCGAGTTAGTTCGTTGTAATGTCTGTCTTATAAATATTGTAGAGGTTATGTTGTATATCAAAACATAGATAGATAAGTGTTGAAAAAACATAAACCAATACAAAATGGAGAAAAGGAAAGAATCTTTAAGTGGGTTGAAATTGTGCAGGTTTTGTTTGAGTAAAAATCAATCGCTTGTTAGCCTGTATGACAGACGTCTATCTCCTAAAAACTGTGTTGATCTCCCATTAAAAATCTTATCATGTGTTTCAATTGAGGTAAATCCGTTTGCTAACTTATTTTACACACGATTTACAATATACAACTGCTTTTTTATGCATACGTATAACTACTATATTATTGACGCCGCCTATATTTGTCAACTTGGCGTAATGGCGACGCTCATATTAATACAATAGTTATTTTATAGGTAATACTCCAATATTATGTAAATCTTATTCGATTTTCATTTGTTTTAATAATTAGAATAATCATTACAATTAATAATTAGAAAATGTTCAAATTTTTATTTCTTCATTAATTTTTATTCACCATATAAAGCGCCACCTAGGGTGTATTAAATTGAAGTAATACTGAAGAAAAATAAATTTAATATATATTTTACTTCAAAGTAAATAAGAATCAAAATATTTATAAATAATGGACATATAAAAACGCATCTTTGCATTTTTACTTTTCCAGGTTTTCCCTTCAGATAAAATGCCTTCTTACATTTGCAGTTATTGCAAATTTTTTATGGACCTTGTTTACAAATATAAACAGATTGTACGTCAAGCTGATGAAAACATATTAAAATATATACAAAACGGAACCCCCTTGGAATCTTTAACTTGGCCAAACCTACTTATAAAAGTAAGCATTCTATTTCAAATAATTATTAGTGGAACACAAAGATTTTTTATTAAACCCATTAAAACTACATTATAGGCATATCAAAGCTCTGTCAGACATGATATAATGAGAGTAGAGGGTGGTGCTACAGTCCAAGTTTCTACCCATGATGTCTCAGATAGTGAAGATGAGGAGGAAGAAAGTGTTTACAATGTAACGGTATAATTTATCCATATTTAAAACAAAACTCTTAAAAAGAAATAGTACAATCTCTACTAAACAATGTAATTTGCATATTACTTTTTAAAATTTTGTCATTCTAAGATTTATTTTCACTTACTTTTAATCTATAATGAATAATTATGTTTTGTAATTTTCTATCTTGTTGATATTGGTTATACTTTACAATAGATTGCGGATGGCTCCGATGATGGTTCTAAAGGCGTTTCCACCTGCATAAAAGTTGTGACCAGCAAAGATGATCAAGATTCATCACAAAATATGCTAAACCAAACTGACAAAGGTAAATTTTAATCAAAATTAAATTTTAATCAAAATTAAATTTTAATCTTGTTAAGTTGTAGTACTTATGATTAAACTTAAAATGTGTTGATAAAACTTGTTTTTGTTTGAATCTTTGTGGTTTAATAAAAATATTTTCAAAATATTTTTTTGTTAATAAAACTATTAACAAAAAAATATAGGTGAAAATCTATCGTTATTACTATAAGTACAATTTATAAATGTTTTAATATTTTTTTAAAAAGTTTTTTTTTGTATTAGTCGACAATGTTTTTTGTTTAATCTTCTCTTATACAGGGTTTGAAAGCTGATGTTTACTAGTGTTGTGACTAAAGGGAGAGTAGTACTCTCCTATGATAGAGTACATATGACCTGATGCTTAGCAACAATTTTGTATTAATTTATTAATTTCCCACCCATACCTTGAAGATATCTCACACAAATGTAAAATATTTCTACAATCTTTATTTATATGGAGAAGAAAAAATGGAAAAAAAATAAGAGCACTAATTAATAACAGTTAAACTTATGTTGTATTAAAGAAATAAAAAAACAAGTAACAAACCTATCTAAAAATTTTGTTTTATAATTGTATAAGTTGTAGACCCTTTTGTGTAGGCAACAAAGTGCTCAAGTCAGGTTTTCTTTGTTTATTTTTATTTTATTTTTTTATGCCAAAAGTTGTCAAACGAGCAGACGGTTCACCTGATGTTAAGTGAATACCGCCGCCCTTGGACATCTGCCACACCCGAGGGCTACAGATGCGTTGACAACCTTTTGAAAATTGGGCTCCGGCTACCTCAATCACCAGACAAAACGCGAAAGTATTTGTCATACTTCCACTTTACACTGGTCTTCTGTGAGGTCGTGGTACTTACCCGGACAGGCCTGCCCATTTGTGCAACAGCCGAGGCTGCTGCGTGGCCCTAACACCTAAGATTTATATAGATTGTGCTGTAGAAGAATATAGTGTGTCACTATGCTATGGCAATTCTAGTAGGTCACTGTTAAGTTATCATAATTCCTGAGAGGTGATTAATCCTTCATTCTTCTTGGTTTGAGATGCCATTCTTTTATCTTCATATGGAATAAATACATTACTTATCATTGTACTGTATTATGTTGCAAATTAGGAAGATTTATTGTAGTCTTCCGTTATTAAACATTGCCCACTTACAGTAGCTGTTGTTAGGATGTTTTATGTAATTAAATTTCATGTGTACGAACACCCAATCTAAAATAACTATTTGCGGGTTATTTGTGTGACAAATGTCTCTTGTTAGAATCAACCTTACAGAATTTCCTCTCTTGACAAACTAACAAGGCCTTTATGCTTTCATGCAGGTGAAGGACCTTACCACTGTAAGCATTGTACCAAGAGCTTCACTAAATCCCATCACTACACAAGGTAAAGTATACATTTAAATTTTATAAATTAAGTTTACTAAAAGATCACATAAATGGTAAGAAACAAAATAAATCGCTATCCAATCATAAATTATTATTATTAATTAATTCTCACTTTTGTTGGCAGACATCTTCGTTTGAAACACCGTGAGAACATACGGTCGTCCCGTGGTCCGTTCGGAGAGGCTGAGCAGTACCCCTGTGACCAGTGCGACGAGATCTTCGCCACTCAGGACGAGCTTATTTACCACTCTGCAATACACGCCACGAAGAATCTTACGTGTCCACTCTGTGAAGAAAAATTCGCAAATGTCGACGCTGTCACTACTCATATCAAATCTCATGTCAACGGTATTTATTTAATATGAATGTTAAATGTGTTCAGATTGATTTGTTTTAAATTATGATAAATATTTCATGTTATTTCAATGCAACTAGTTTCCAGAGTTTTTAGAAAGATGGTCTAAACATTTATTAATTAAAGATTATATGAAAATTGAAACTCACCACTCAACTGCAGAACCTAATCAAATTGTTTATTCTAAACCATCTTCTCATTTCAGGTGTGGAATTCATGTGCGATTTCTGTGAATTGGTGTTTACCACTAAAGAAAAGTTGGAGTACCATTTAATTATGGCTCATGAAGATGAATTTAATAATGTCAGTTTTGCCATAAATAACTATAACATGTTTATGATAAAAATTTATGTTGCACTAATTTTATATATCATCATCTTTTTTTTGTTTCTAGGATCTTGGCCAGGATGACTCATCTATGGAAATGGATGCTAGAGAAGATGATGGTGATGATGATGATAATGATACAAGTATAAATGGTAAGTTGTGTTAGACTAGTTTGTGTCCATTTTGTTAGATTATGTTAATGTCTAATATAGCCGACTCTTTAAAACATTATTTTTCAGTCAAAGACAAGGGAGATCACATGCTTATAGAAATAAAAAAAGCTGACGAGTACATGGTATGCTCTTTTTCTATGTATTTTTCGAAAATGCTTCCTAAGTTTTATCATTATATGTATGCTAAATATTTTTCAGCTGCATAATACTCACAAGGAGATGGAGGAAAAATTTGATAACACTAATTCAGAAGGTAGGTCTGCCAAAAAACTAATTTTACCACTTCTAGTTTAAGGAAATAATATTTGTATTATTTATATTGATTGTTTTATATTTTGTGTTACAGATAGTGAACCTGAGGTAACATACACAGAATTGTCTACAGTGGACACATTAGGAATTATTCAAAAAGGGAACACATCACCAAGAATGTCAGTTGATAAGCAACCAACAAAAGTGTCTAAAGCTACTGTTAGCAGTAGCTTTATTCCAGCTTTGACAGCAAATGATGCACAAGTAGGCAGATACTTCTTCTAATTTCTTTCTAATTTAGATAAATTCGGATAATATATATTTTTACCTTTTGGATGAATTTAATAGTAAACAGATCAGATGTGATACAGCCTGCTCAAATAATGTTTCTTGTATACATTATAAATATAAAATGTCTTGAAAATGTATTAGTGTAGTATATCAATTATGTCAATGAAATTTGGATTTGTGTCAATGACCTTATTTTTTTTTTAATTTATTAAGCTCACCTGCAGATGTGATAATAAAACTCTATACACTAATGGAAATGCTTAAAACTAATTGTACATCCAAATTAAAGGCAAACACAACATTCACGTATTTTTAAGTAAATGTATGTCACAGAGAAAAAAATACAACTAAAACAAAAATATTAAAATAAAAATAGAATACAGCTAATATGTTGACATAAGTGTAAAAAAAAAACCTTTTATCCAGCGTAACAGCACAAAAATTGCAAAAATTTATAACCGAAAAAAAATGTTTCTCATGGAAATATTTTGTGAATCATGGCTTAGAATAATGTGGCGACATTGACGTAAAGAATCGCAATTAAAATCAATTTTGTCGAAGAACTTATTTACTAGGACACACAACAGCGAGATAATTGACTTATCAGTAAATTGGTGGTGGGTGGTATCATTTGCGTGTACTCTAATTGTCTACAAAAATTTGAATGTAATATAACAATTAATTTCGAAAATAGATGTTATTACGAAACTTGAATAATAATTTACAGACTCCAGCTATCATAAGAAAAATTGAAGAAAAAAAATTGAAGGCAACTGAACAACAAAGTGCTGATACAGGTAAAATAGTATTCCTAAGACATTCAGTAATAGTAGAGTACACCCATTAAGGCACAAATCAAGTATGATAGTCCACTAACATGAATTAAAGTTTCACATGTGCCGGGGTATATACGATAATAATGAAAATATGAGTCGGTAGGTATTTGTTTTATTATTTATATTGGTTCATTTGATCTTTAGCTAATACTGCCTATGGACATCTACAATACTCGAAGGGGTTACAGATGCCTTGGTATGCGATTGGCGCTTGAGATGTCGCACATAACACGAAACGCAGAAATATATAAAATAGTTTTATCTTATGCCCATCTTACCTCATAAGCCTGCCTCATTTTGCAATAGCAGGAAAGAGGTCTCAGAATAAATGTTTATCTTGATGTAATAAATTAAAATTTTTAATAATAGTATTAGATTGAAGTACAATAATTACATTTTATAACTGTAAAAATGGTAATTAATAAGCATTTATCATATATCTGGTTTTATGACTATAATAATATTGCTTGCTTTTCACTTTTCACATTAACTGAAACTATGACAATCCTATCAAAATGTGAAGAACTAAACAATTATTTTAAATAGTAGTATAACTTAAAAGATTATATATTGCTGTGATCAGTTTTTATGTAATTTCTAATATATATTGTTGCAGAGAGAAAAGAAAAATCTACCAAAATTGACAGTAGCAGTGTCGGTGCCAGTAATAAATCATTGCAGTTATTAGAGAAAGAACTTCAGGAACTAAAACGGGTAAGATTTTCTACTTATCTATTTAATTTTAAATCTTTCACCTAATGAAGAATTACATTTTTGTTTCAAGGTGATTATCCTAAGAAATTTCGTATCAAATTATTATATATATAACATTATTGTTGTTCTAATGCTATATTCTAATTTATGACTTGTGCAGAGCTAGAAGTGGAATTATCCTTTAATGTTTTCTAAAGAAACTCATTTTGTGTCCCCCAGTTTGATAGTTTGACTGATATTTAACTTTACATAATAGTTTTGATTCCCTTTTAGACTAATAATTCAAGAAATGAAGTCATCAAAACCAGCAAGCTTACGGAACCCATACGAAATAGACGCCTTCAAATTCATGCTTCAACCCCCAAGGCAAAGTAAGATTTTCCTCTTATACACTAAATATAGGAATTATATTAATTTATACATTATTTGTGGTAGGGCCACAAAGCAGCCTCGGCTGTTGCACGAATGGGCAGGCGTCCGGGTAAGTACTACGACCTCACAGAAGACCAGCGTGAAGTGGAAGTATAACACCTTCGCGTTTTGTCTACGTTTGAAAGTTTGTCAACGCATCTGGTACCCTCGGGTGTAGCAGATGACCACTCGCTTGGCAACTTTTCACTTAAAAAAATATGATGAAAAAATTGACATGAGGATTGTAATTTTAATTTTTTTTTAATTTATATTTATTTGGTCTAATTTAATCTATGTACATAATGAATTATTTTTATTTAAGTAATAATTTTCGCATGCCAGATGTGGTAAACATGTGGACTATGTACAATATGCAACTATGTGTCACCTCTGATGTACCATGTTTAAGCAAATAAATGATATTATTATTATTATTATTACATTTTTTGTATGCCACATCATGTATTGGTATTTATTGCATTCAAATTACATATTTCAAACATTTAATATCAATTTTTATTTTATTATAGACCTATTGAAGAAAAGAAAGCAGTTGCTGTTACGAAGGCACCAGTTGTCGAGAAAAAAGGTCCAGAGCGCCGCATAATAACCAAAGAGAATAAAGAGCCGAAAGAAAGCAAGGAGACAAAAGTAAACACCAGTACCAAAGAAGACAGAGATAAAGATGCTACATCCACACCAAAGGTAAATGAATTCAAAAACTGAAATTATGTTCATGCTAAAACAATGTTATATTATCAAGGATCACAAAGATTGGCCGTGATTAACAATATAAAATCTTTATAAAATACAAATATTTTTATATTAACCGGAAATATGTTTAAAAGGTTTATTGAATATTTCAGAGTCTTGTCAAAAATGGAAACAACGAAAAAAACTCTGCAGATGAAGGAGGAATTCGCCGCTCTACGCGACCATCTAAAGTTAAAGACTACGCAAAAATGATTCGAGACAGGTATGTCGCTGTACAACTTTCAGAAATATATTTTTTTTTAATGTGAAAAGTTTTAAGCGAGCAGTTGGTTCACCTGATGTTAAGTGAATACCGCTGCCCGTGGACATCTGCTACACCCGAGGGTTTGCAGATGCGATGACAACCTTTTCGAAAATTGGGCTCCGGCTACCTCACTCACAAGGCGAAACACGAAAGTATTATACCTCCACTTCACACGCCGGTCTTCTGTGAAGTCGTGGTACTTACCCGGACGAGCCTGCCCGGTTTCACATATATAGAAGGGGTCACTACTGTCGACAATAAAACCACTAAATGACCAGAGTGAAATTATTAATCATTTGGATTTTGGCGATAAATTATTTAATTTAGCAATAAGGTGATATTGATTTTAACAAAGAGCGTCGGTCAGATTAACTCTCTGTTACTAAAACGTAACTAGCTAAAAACTTAAATACGCTTGAGTGAAGTGTGTTCTGCCAGTTTTGCGCACTAAATTTCGCAAAATATGTTCATCACAAGAACGAATAATAACTGTAGATCAATGTTGGTCATCAGATCAGATTTGGACTGTAGGAGCTAAATGTCACCTGTAGCTCTGCATATATGCCCCCTAATTATAAACTATTCATTGCATACTACATAATAAGGACTTGAGTGAACTGAGATATTAATCACTATGGCGATGTGATTAATTTTAATGGAAAATGTTTGAGTCCCTAACTTTAAACAGACTTCTAATTTATGGTAATATTTTTAACCTTTTGTGATTTGTTATGTATGTACGCTCTGTACTGAATGTTCTCGTTTATTAATGTTATTGCTTTAAAAAGAACTAGAAAGGGGCCGTCCATTAAATACGTGAGGTTTTTATAGCATTTTTAACCCCCTCCTCTTTGGTGATACGTGGTGAGGTTTAAGACTACCCCCCTACTCCCCATCATCACGTGCATTTTGTAGTACCTACGAAGAATCTTAAAATTTTTAGAATATCTTGAAATACAGGTTTAGAGTAAAATCTAATTTTATTCTGAAATTAAGGGCCATGATTAAAATGTGACGGCGAAAAAGTTCAGACCACATACGGCTTTTCGGTTTAGAACTCGCACGCGAATCCCCCTCCCCCCTCCTTTCGAGCCTCACATGATTAGTGGACGGCCCTTATCTTGCTACTCACTATACACATTACACTTTTTAGATATAGATAATTTCATTTAAAACTTTGTAGACAAGACGAGGATGATTCCGATGACGCTGACGACGAGGAGTACAGAGCAGAAAGAACTCCAGAGGTGGGATTAACATAATGCTTTTAAATTTAAAATATCCATCTCTAAATTTGATTTATTCACGGTGGATAAATTTGTGATTGATGATAGATTTTTTCCCAGTTTACAAACAACAATGAAAACAAGTTTATTATATAAAATTGAGGCAATTTGTATCGTCAAACAATCAAAATTGTTTTTAAACAAAATGTTTACATTTTAAACGGCAAATAACGTTTATATTAACACTAGCTGTGCTCGCGATTTTGTCCACGTGAAATTTTAAATTAAAATAATTAAAATAAAAGTAGTCTAAGTTACTCCTTATTACATCAGCTATCTGCAAGTGAAAGTCCCGTCCAAATCGGTCCAGCCGTTACAGAGATTAGCCGGAAAAAACAGACAGACAGACAGACAAAAATTGTAAAAAAACATTATTTTCGTATATGTACCGTATCTTGTATTAACTGATGTTTGTGCTTTCAGTCCCGAGGCTATTAAAGCTTCATCTGACGCCGAACCGGTGGGCTAGCCAGAACCCACGGGTTTTGGCCCTCTGCTGTGGGTAGGGCCGCGCATGTGCTCATGCGTGCGTTTAAGTATGGTGTATCATCTAAGGGCAATCGAGGTTGCGGTGCGGACCGAGACCCCGATGGCCGTCGACTGTGCAATTAGCTAATCGGTGGCTGGGTGCGGTGAGAACCGCCGAGAACGCGGGTGTACCTTGTGTACGCGTTGTGTTGGTCTCGCCGTGCTCGGAGGCGAGGGCTAACTAATGTGTTTGTTGTTGCACTAACTGTGTGTGTAGTGTTAACCGGCGGGACCCCCGGCGGTGGGTCCGACGTTTCTAAGTCCACTTCCTCGACCGGGTCGATGAGGACGGTTCGCGGGCGACGCTTGTTGACGTTCGCGTTTGTGTCGGGTTGGTAATTTGCTGCGCTTACCACCAGAGGGTTGGGATGATGTTCGGCTCTATCGAAGAACCGTTTGGTCAGGTCGTTGAAAAATTCGCGAATCGTCGGGAGACTGCAATCGCTGTGCAGGTCGACGTTGCGTTGATACCACTGCGCACCGGTTGCGCGGCGGATGAACTTATTTTGCACTACTTGCAACTTGTGCAAGCGAGTGGTCGAAAATCATGCATGCGTAGGACACGATTGACCTTACGCAAGTTTAAAAGTAATTTGTGTCTTAAGGACATTTTACTTGACTGGTTAGTTAAAGTTCTTAGCCGGCCGGAGACGAACTCGGCTCTGTAACGGACGTTATTAATATGCGTTGTGAATAACATACGCGATTCAAAAGTGACTCCTAAATATTTGACCTTTTTCCAGGGGAGCGGTTGACATAAAGAGATAGTGTATAGATCCATATGCATTTAGTAAAAAGCGGTTATTTTAATATCACAAACAGACACTCCAATTTTATTTATCTAAATTATAGGGAAGTTAAAATGGGACCGACTTGAATATATTACCTTTCCAATTTGAATTATATATGCCAAAAAAATTATTCTCGCCTTTAAATAAATAGAAATAATTAACATCGCGCGTCGACTCCGCGATAAATTTATGCGCGAAATACGCGAAAAAGGCGGTGCGCTACGCAAAACACGAAAAGTTTTCTACATACAGCGCCGTAGTTAAACAAATTATTTGTTCACTTAAATTAACTTACTAATATTATTTATATTAATTTAAATGAAATCAACATTGTTAAAAAAAATAATCTTTAATCTTAATCTTACTTTATTTTATATATTCTATTTGTTGCTTTCTAGAGAACAAGAGGGCGTAAAAGTGTCACAAAGGTACAAGCCAAAATGATACAAACTACAATCGCAACCACAACACAGTCCAAACTAGGATTGACTGCTGGGGTAGCGCCGACCCCGAGGAAACGAGGCCGCCCACGTAAGGAACCGCCAAAGGAAGTGTAAGTATTCTTTATGTATATATTAATAACATGGGACAAAAGCTTTCTCTGTAATGTAAAATTATATCAACACGTAAAAGAGAATAACAGGGCTTAAAATAAGTTGTAAATAAATTTAACTAATATTTAACTCTTTTATTTTTTAGACCAGCAAAGGTTAAGAAAGATGCAGTTGAAACAATTGAAGAAATAAATTTAACTAAGACAGATACGGAAGATTCACCAAATGCTGAGGAAAGAGCAGACAACGAGAGCAAAATCAGTATCTCTTCAGACAATTCTTCTGTAAGTTGTAATAAGTTCTTCTTTTGTTTGTATGACATAAAAAATGAATTTGGCAAAATATATTTTCAGCTATCTATTATTTCTAATTATTTTTTATGTTATTGTTATAGAGAAATTTAAATGTGAGTTTAAAAGATAAATTATGAAAAGTTATTTGCCAGAAGAACAGGCTTTTTAGCCAAACTGAGTTGGGTGCAGTTTGGCGTTAATAAAAATAATGTTCACTAGATTGCGCGAGTTATAATAAAAGTCTGTGCTCGTTACAAAAATGACACAGGCTCGAACACTGACACCGGAGGAAATTTTTCTACAATTTATTTAAAACGCATTTAAAATTGCCTGGACACTGAGCCATGATAGCTCAGTGTTCGGGCACTCGCCTTTAATCTTATCCTTTAAACGAGCAAATCTTGTATATATATATATATATATATATATATATATAATCGGAATCACGGAAACGGCTTCAGCGATTTTTATGAAATTTAGTATGTGTGTAGATTCGGGGGCGAGAAATCGATCTAGCTAGGTTTCATTTTTAGAAAATGTCCTTTTATACCTGTTTTCAGGGAATGAAAAATATCATTCGAATACGACGGTAAATTACGCCGAAAAAAAAATTTTATAATAGCTCGGTCGGTAATCGGGCGGCCACGAAACAGAAGACCGTGGTTCGTGTCACGATCATTTACATATTTATTTTTTACTTTTTTTTCGATTCCAGATCATTGCTTTCTTTATTTTTAATTTTTTGTCGATTTGTTATTTTTTCCCTTTTTTTAAAGTTCTTTTGTGAAAAACATCACTTCATATTTTGTTATTATTACGTCGGTAAGATCGAAAAATATTATGCATATTTCATTACTCAGTAATTTGTATCTAAATGTAATTTCCAAAACACACGATTTACCAAAAAAAAAAAACAAACCGAGCAAAGCTCGGTCCTCCGGGTACTACTATTTACCCAAGCAACCTGAATTCGATCCCCGGTGCCAGCACCAATGAAATTGTTAATTTTATGCGCTGTCTTATCACGTGCTCGACAGTGAAGGAAAACCTCGTGAGGAAGCTGCATATTTTCGAAATAATAACAAAAAAAATTCGAGGATATGTGAAGTCCACCAAACCCTAGTGGGGCCGCGTGGTGGACTATGCCCTGATACCCTGTGTACAACGGAGGCCTTAGTCCAGCAGTGGGACATTTATAGGCTGTAACTTTACTTTTTTTACGTTTAAAATTTATTTTTTACTTTTATTATACAAATTCTCACAGGACGCTGTAAAGATGGTGAGCTCTGAATCACCACAAACTTCAGGGCAGCTGGTCTCTCCCTCTGGACAACCACTAAAAAAGGTAAACTATTAAATTGTTGTATATCATTATCAATATTGGCATAAATTAATATGAATTATCTTTGATTTTAATGTGTAGTACTTAGGTCAGGAATGATTCTATTATAATATTAAACTGTTTACTCATCCATAAATGTTATCTCTTAGGAATCATAATATCAATTGTCGGCTTAAAAATAAAATAAAACACTTATGCCTGTTTTCACCACTGCTTAAGTGTTGAAAACAGGCTTAAGACTTTAGGTGGCACTTAAAGTTAGGGATTGATGATGAAAACGGGCATTTCTAGTTTCTTGTTTTTTTTAAACATTGCCCTTACTATAGGATAACATTATGCCTGTGTTGTAAGGACGTTCTACAAACATAAATTTCACGCAGACAAACACCCAGATGCGAAACAACTATCTGTGGATCACACAAATAGCTGTCCCGTGTGGGAATCGAACCCACGACCCCCGACGCCGAAGCCAATATCTTAGCAACTAGGCCACGGTTATCAAAATTCAGCATTACAGACTTATAATGATCTTACAGGTGCCGGTTAAAGCTTTACCGCCAGGCGTTCGCCCGCTGGCCCTGCCAGTAACCCCTCGACGTAAGTGAGACCATACTTTAACATATTTTAGTCGTACAAAGATAAGTTTACGGTATAATATTTTACTACAACATTTATTAATTTCAGCACTTGGAACGGGCGAGCTGTGTGAAATGCAGATTGGCAAGAAAATGGTTAAAGTGCAGAAAATCGTAATGACCAAGGCAGAGGTAGAAGCTATGGCAAAGAAGGGACTTGTGGAAATGAAGGTATTTTATTTTAAGTCTAATTTATTTTATTAATTTCATTTTAAAAGAAATAATATAATAAATTCTGTTCAATTCATGTTTAATTATTTTAATTTCATTAACAATGTTAATGTTAAATATACAGCGTGTCGTTACAACCGCGACAATAAATGAACACACGTCTAACACTACTTGCCAATAATCATAAAAAATATAAACGTTCAAAAATCCATAATTAAAAAAAATATTTTTCAAACAAACTAATTAAATAAAAATGAAACAAAATTTCAACAACACACACCAACAAATCTCTCCTTCTAACTGTATGTTTTATGTCTTTTAAATTCCTTCAACCCATTCATATGCTTTGTGACCTTTACAAATGAACTTTACGTTAGGGTGTTCTAAAATTGTTTGTTTTTGGAAATTAAATATCTCGCTTAATATTGATGTTTAAAGAAGGTGAATGTTTAATACAATTTTAAAAAGTTGTCCTCTATATGTGTGCTCATTTATTGTCGCCGTTGTAACGACACGCTGTATAACAATAATTTTTAATGAAGAATATGCTATTTTTAGTCCAATAAAATGGCAGGTCGAAAAACCATCTAAATTACGGCCATTACTTTTTGTAAATACATTAAAAGTGGTTCAGGACACTTCTATATAAAGTTTTTACAGCTACATTTTTTGTTTGAATTTTTTTCATAATGTTTTATGTTTTTGAGTTATACTGATACTTTAAAACATGTAGAAAAAGTACGAAAAGATTGTCGCCGCTGTGGGAATCGAACCTACGTCTTCGGCACTCGCGGCCTGACGCTCTAGCCACTGAGCTAAACGGCTGATAGCCACAGCGACGAAAATCTTAACGCCTTCTTCATTGTTATTTAGAAGAGAAGCAGAGATTGGCACAATAAAAAACTTTAAAATTTATATAAAGCAATGGCGACATCTCTCGTTCGAATTATCGTTGTAAAACGATATTCGAAATTGTTTGTATGCTGGAAAGGATATAACAATAGATGCGCCAAGCATTGCTTCAAATGCTAAATAACAATGTAGAAAGAAGGCGTTAAGATTTTCGTCGCTGTGGCTATCAGCCGTTTAGCTCAGTGGCTAGAGCGTCAGGCCGCGAGTGCCGAAGACGTGGGTTCGATTCCCACAGCGGCGACAATCTTTTCGTACTTTTTCTACATGTTTTAATGTTCAATCTTAGGTGCAGAGATTAGCACTATAAAAAACTTTAAAATTTATACTGATACTGTTCAATTATACTGTTATCTGTCCCCCAAATGAAATTCTTAATTTTAAATGAAAGTCCTTTAGGTGTATGCTTAAATGAACTCACATTAAAAAATACAGGCTTATCTGCTAGATAGTAAATTGTCTCGTAATTTTGTTGAATTATATGTAATAGAAAATAACATACTTTTTCAGGACGGCACAATGGTGCTAAAACAAGGTATAAAATTACCAACTGCTGATCCTGTTTCAATCAAGTCTTCCTTAGTCGGCGATGGAGGTAATTTTATATTAGATTTCATTTATTAACCCATTTTGCTCTAGTTTGAATGGTGTTTTATTTATGTTATTTAGTCTCAATTTTCTTTTTAAGCATTTTTTGACTTGTTCCAGACGTAGTAAAAGAAAGAAAGGATAAAGCAGCCCCCACCAGATGCGATCTTGGAGATGACCCATAAATAAATTGATGAAAAAATAAAAAAATAAATGGATTAATATAAATAGGGCAATTCAACGTATTTTATGAATATACTACAAACAGCATGATATCTTCTTTTTTATTCCGAGATATCTCATAGTTGTTATACATTAGGTTTATTTTTTTAATGATCTTACATAGGATGTAATAAAATCTGTCGGTTTTACAATTATTGATAACTTTAAGTCTATGGTTAAGTAAATGAATAGTACATGGTTTATTTCCTAAAAATCGATGTGTAGAATCATGATACAGCTCGAAAAATGTTAACATGAAATATTAAATAGTATTATTGAAAAATTGTTTTTTATCGTTTACCTTTCAAAGAAAATCTTTTTTACGAAGTATGCCTCATGATTCAATCGCAATTTCGACCGTATTACTCAACCCGGTCCAACTATCGATTGCTGTTCTAAGTGGATAATAAGCGCAATATTTATGAAGTTAAAAAAAACAACACAACTCATTCTGATCATTATGAATATCATTCTAATCAATTCAGAGATTTTAACAATCCTTTTGACAACTCAAATAACATTTGAAAATCCATTTGACAGTTTGTTAGTTGACTTCTACGATGAGTAGTATACCACAAATTTGATTGACAGGTCTATGAAACGGGATACGCAATTAACTTCATCTTCAATATACGATAAATTGAATGAATTGTTTGGAAATAAAATTTATTATAAAACCGTTTCGCATGACAAATAACTTGTGGAAAACGGGCAGAGGTTTTAGAAATGCGGCGAAAGGCGCTTCTTAAAGGATTAAAAGGAAATTATATACAAGAAGATATGGAAAAAAATTCCGCCCTCTATAGATTACATGTTCAACCCTCAGGGTTTAACAGCTTATTTACAAAAATGCAGGATATAAGTTAGACAAAGATATTTTGGCACAACTTAAATCTATAGTGCGTTCAAAATCGCCAGGGCTTTCTAAATCACCGGTAGCTTATACTTCTCGTGACAAGTGCTTTCGTTTCCAACGACAAGCAGAAACTAGGAATAAATAGGAAGCGAAACTTTAACAGCACAATAGAAATAGGCACAAATGACTCGTGTCGGTTTTCCGGCGGTTGTCTGATGCTTTACCAAAGAGTATGGGATAAACTGGAACCACCCAAAGCAATTCTAAAGTTAATTTCGGCTGCCCGCCTACCTGTTAGACGCCGCCATTAATCGTTCCAACATCGGACATAATGCAAAGATTTCAGACTCCGAGTTCCGTAATAATGTCTTCAGAAATTCGGGCCATGATTAGAAATCTAATCTTCGAACCGTTAACTCAGTCTTTCATATCCCCACTTTTTATCATAACGAAAAAATCGTGTAATATGCAATTTGAAGGTCTTAAGTCAAATCATGAAACCAAAAGCATTTTCACCTGTTTCATCGTCACGGAATGCAAAGTTTTTTACAAACTAGCGATTGGATGGTGAAGCTCGATCTTAAGCCAAGCATATTATCATCTGCTAATATTGCAAAGTCACCGTTGCTTTTTATGTGTCAGTTACGAAGGCTGGTTGCTGCCGATGACATGTCTACCCTTTGGGCTTGCAGCGGCGCCGAAAATGTTTGCAACTGTCACAAATTGGACTGGGAGATATATTACGCAAGGGCGGTATACTTAAACGATTATATAATAGTCCATCAACACAGTGATGCTGCTAGTTCTTACCAGTCTAGGTTGGAATATCAACACTGAAAATTCTATACTCACCCCGACAAGATCTATTGAGTTCATTGAAATCGTCTGGGATACGCAGAACAAAATCAAGAGTCTGTCCACCTCTAGACAAGGTGAGATAATTCCGCCAATACATAATGACTCGCTTAACAGCAGGCAGTTGGACCCTCAAGCAGGCGCAACGCCTCTTGGAGTCACCGATGCAACCTATACCGTCGACATCCGCACAAACGAAGGAGCAAGCTAACACGGCTCCCAAGACAGAGGCCACCAAGAAGGGATATCCGCCGATCATAGTAGAAAACCTACACGACTGGGCTAGCCATTTTGCGGCCCTAAAGAATAAACTCGGACACGCCCCCAACGCACGAGCCTTCGGGAAGGGCGTCCGATTCTTACCCCAGTCAGGCCACGAATACCGGGTCATACAGCGACACCTAACAGCAGCCACCAACGAAGATAGCAGTATTACATGGCACTGCTATGCTCCCACGAGAGAGCTCCCCACAAAAGTGGGAGTACGTGGATTACCTGAAACCACGGACCCGGAGAGCATAACCGACGCATTACGCGAACTGGGGTTCCCGGCGACGTACACAAAATTGATACCGCCAACAAGAAACAGAAACCGTTGCATCTTTTTCGTACAGCTCGAGCGCCTCAAGACAAGAGAAGCGGCTCGACTGTACGACATAAACGAGCTCCTTAACATGCCGGGAATCCAAATTGAGGGGTGGGAGGAGAAAACCGACCCACCCCAATGTCATAAATGTTAGAAATTTGGGCATTCTTCGGCGAACTGTCACAGACCGGTGGTTTGCGTGTGATGTACAGGAAGTCACATTGCGGCCGAATGCCCAATACCTTTAACCACCCCCGCACGTTGCGCAAACAGCGGGCAAAGGCACCCCGCCAATGATAGGCGATGTCCCGCATTCATAAAGGAAGCAAGGAAGCGCGGGATCGCAATCAACCCGCCGCGTCCACATATAAGAAGTGAGGAAGCAGGATGGACGACGGTGGGGGAGAGAGAGAGAGAAAATCGTAACGGGGGGACAGCCCCCCCCCCCAGACTTCCCCCCTCAGCCCCGCCAACAAGGCGAGACTATATCGGCGACCGCGTTACAAACCCCTACCGCAGTACAAACCACTGCGGGGAATATACTAAGGCAGGCCATTCCGAGCGCGCGCCCGCATTCATCGTACGCCGTCGACGCCGCCTCCACTGCCGCCACCACAGCAAGACCGACCACTACTATAATAACTACGCTCCAGCCACCAGCCAACCCAGCTACAACGCGCGTTAAAAGCCACCGACGAAGACGCCGCGGACGTAATGCAACCGCGGCCTCCTCCCAAGATGAACGGGTCGAACGACGACCAGTAACTCGTGGAGCCACTGCCACCGCCACGAAGACGGAGACGGCGCTACCTCACCGCCCCCTCCCCTCCGGCAGGAGAAAGCCGCCGAACTTAAGTCGCGCAAAGGGCGGAGCCAGCGCCTTCCAGTCGCCGCACGCTCCGCCCCCAGGAACGCCACTATACCGCCGAAGCCCCAAGATCTGTGGAGGAATTCGCAGCATCTCTCCAACAAGTAGTACGCACGCTAGCGGAGGCTTTAATCTCCATCATAGCCGCAATGGCCAGCGGACACTCACCAATGGGAGCATCCCTACATACTCTCTCCACGCTACTCACCGCGCATTACGGTGAACAATAAACCACCATAAACAGTGTTGCGCCATTCTTATGGCGGCTTAATAAGCAACAACAACATCCCAGCAGGTCAATATGGCCCAATTTACCGGGGGCACGGAGTGGCCCCTGTGAAGATGCCCGGGTCATGAGGAATGCCTTGACACCCGCACCTGCAGGCCCCCTCAAGGGCATGTAGAAGACCCCCACGACGACGCCTCTTGGGGTGTCTCAACTTAGCGAACTTCATCACCCTCTGGGGAAGGTTGCATTGCCGTACGCTACAGCGCCACAGCAATCCTCTACGAAAAATCCTAGGCCGGAACAGTATATTCAGGGACGAAGTACGGAGAGAGCTAGAATGGGGGCAAGACAATATAGATCATTACACTCAAATTCAGCCCAGAAAGTTACCAGTCAATTACATCGTAACAATATAACTAGAACTTTATATAGTTACACTTATACCATCATTCATATAATGACACACAATTTCCCACATTCAAAGAATGTAAGATTAAAAAAGAAATAGGTATTATATTTTTCCTTTATAAGACAGCGGCGTTTCTGTTAGTTTATACTACTTCTACTAAACTTGCAGTACCAACTGAATCATCTGGGATTCCCCTCCCAGCAAGTGTAGTTCATTTTGTTACGATTCGTTTAATGGATTAATTTTTATTAATGTGAATTTGATTACAGTTGATCGCTACACTGCATATTTTCACTACAGTAAACAATAAAAAATTCAAAATTACAGTAAATCTACTGTAATTAAAATGAGTCTGGAAGTACTTGGCTGCGGCTGTTTAAAGTTAGTTCCAGATTAGGCCGCTAGTGGCGACAACGGCGCGTGACGGCAAAGAAGCGTAGCGACTTATAACGACAAGGCGAGAAAAAAGGCGATGCCTTCTCATAATAGACTCCGGACGCCTCAGGAAACATAATCCATATTTTTATTTTATGGTAAAATTTCTATATTATAATGCACCCATATTTTAAATAAAAAATATTTATTTAAATTCCATAAACCTTTTTGTTTTATCGCATGTTGTAACTGTGGTAGTGCAACGCAACGCAACCAATGATATATACAAATAGATAGATAATGGCACTAGCTCACCAAAACTAAGGCACTCAAAATATTGCAACTCTATAGACGTTCTATATTATCTGTCACATTCACAATTCCACATACATATGTCATTTAAAGTGAAATTTTTAAACGCCGCGCTGTATGTACATGTTTTTTTGCCAACCCGGCGGCTTTGACGGCTTCGACGGAAGAGGTCTTTACACTGACTACCCACAGACTCGGGAGATTAACGTAGCTGGTACACAACGACGATGCGAAGACGCCGTCTCTTCCGCTGTACTCCGCAACACCCTGCTAATGAAAGATGGACAACAGTACAGGCAGTAAATATGACAGGATCGGACTAACAGGGCGGGGAACGACACGATAAAAGGGCCCCTCAGAAGGGGAACCTCGGTTTAGATCGCCATCGATAAGAGGACCTACTCACAGGAAGGAATAATGGTTGAAATTGCGATTTAATCCTGATATGTATCGGCTGCATGGACGTGTGT